GGTTCTATTAAATTCCCATGTTGCTGTGTGAGAATGAATCAACTATCAAAAGGTACTTGAATAATTGTATCATTATTATATTGTTGTCAACAATAAAATGAAACAATGTGTTGATTACGACAACACCATGGCAACGAATTATTAGAAAAGACCAACTATCAACCCTAACCGTATCTACCCTAGTATTGAAATTACAATTTTTTATATGATGTTAGAATATTATTATTATGTAAAGTGAATTTCCCAATATATTTAATCTATTCTAATTGTCCAAGAGATTATTCTGAACTCATAATTAAAATAAAACAAGTTTAAACATAAAAAATCAAGTACACCAATTAACAAACGCATTAATTATTGTAAATCAGCGATGTTTCCTATCAAAGTGTTTATGTGAAAGATGTTGTATACTTGTATCATTTTTAGTTTTAATAATTTCTGAAGACCTGTGATATCCGACATTCACGTCCCTACATGACCCTACCTCATTGTACTGTCTTTTTTTAATTTAAATTAACATTATCTAAGAAATATTATTTAAAATAATTTGTCTTTTTATAATTAAATTTCCTGCCAAAATCAAAATGTATACATATTATTACATATTATATTATAATTTTACAATGAAATGACTATTATTCAAATTTTTAGTTTTATTTAAATGTTAACTAGATAAACTTTCGTTTTTATTCGTTTTAAGACTCGTAGCCTGTGTCTACACTGTTGTTTTTTAATTTAAAAACATGTATTTCAGATTAAAGAAAACAATATTTACAACGACACAATATATTTATCAATAACGCGTTGCGCCTGACTTTATGTAGATATATACAACATAAATATCAACGCATATGAAGTAGTATTATAATTTTTTTAAGGAGTTCATTTAATAATTAGATAAAAGATAATTAATAAAAAAGTATATTGATATTTTCATGTCTTAGCTCTGGCACTTAACCGAAAAAAGTGTTTTGTTCTTACTGCACTCAACAGATACTTCGAACAAAATTGTAGTTCATGCAAATAAATTCAATAAAAAAACAGAATTTTAGAACGCATTAACGTCTAATTTTCTATTTCAAACATCATGTAATATTTTAGTCAGGTCCACGTAATTAATTAATTGTTAATAAAATTGTTATTAATCATATCCAAAAGGCCATCTTGGTAAAAGACCTTACAAGTTTTATGAACACGAAGATCACTGAAACATATTATGTGGAAAACTCAATCGACGAAAAATATATAAAGAGTTTCAAAAAAGATTTAAAAGATAAGCACCTCACCTCATGAACAAACACATTTGGAACATATTAAATCGAAAAAAAACGGATTTTGTTACAGTATCCTATTTACGTCGGGTTGTGAGGATTACTCCAGTTTGGAAAAGTTAATTTTATGTATATTGACACATTTAAATTTATGTGGTTTCAAATCAGTCGGGAATTCCTGAAGAAAATAAATCATATAATAAGATAATAGATGATCATTTTTATTCAAATAAAAAATTAGAAATTGGAATTTAAATTACTTTAATCGTATTTGAAGTTTATCAGTGATTATAACGTAAGTAATTCGAGGTTTCTGAATCCTAAAAGTGTAATAAGCCATGTTTTAAAAGTTGTTTTTTAAGAGGGCGTCGCACCGGTGATTTTCAGTGGTAAAAACATGTTTACGCAAACTGAAAATAACTCGCTTAATTTTGGTTTTAGAGTAAAAGCACCCATTATAAAATTAAAAGAGAACAATATTCCAAAGGGCAAGACGGTGCGTTTTTTTAAAAAAAATTATTTTTTTGAAAAGTTACAGTCATTTAAAAATGTTAAAATAGTTATTTCTAAACTATGTATTGAGCGTTATAATTGGAATAATGAAAAAAACGCACCGTCTTGCCCTCTGGAATATTGCTTTCTTAATGTAATGGCTGCTTTTACTCTAAAACCAAAACTAAGCGAGTTATTTTCAGTCTGCTTAAACATGTAGAGATGAAAAAACATTTTTAAATCGCTTTCAAGGATGCTGTGATAGTCCGAAAAATAAATTAACTACCAAAATAGTGTCCTAGTTATTGAACTAATAATTACACATCACAGTTTAACCTTTAAATTAAGATTTTGTGAAAAAATGCCTATACTTTACTCCTTAGGCAATGCGAGGCCCTCTTAATCGCAGAATTTAGACCGTCTATATGGAAACTTCTAATGATTATAAAATACTTGAATACAAATATTATGTTCATGTTTCAATGTAAACGATACTTTTGTTAAAACTACTTCTTAAGTCCTTTAGAAATCCTATCCTATTTATAAAATAAATATTTAATTTTAAATCAAGTACAACTATTTTTATGGACTTACTGAATATCTTCGAAATCAGAATACATAATGTTATTTTTGAGATTATTTAGTCGTTAATGATAAATGTTTAAAATATATATCTTTATTTCAATTTTACAATTCATCTACTGTACTCGTAAAAAAAGGCAACAGTACTAATAATTCATTTTTTAATTAACTATGTTTGATTTGCATCATGTTAATTGTATTACATAAAATATAAAATAGTATCTTCATCGTTCATTAATGCAATGATTTAGTGATAGATGACGTAGTCTAAATTTGCAAGTTATAATATTATTGTATTTAAATTTTAATACTTTTAAATAAAATTAAAATACAATTGCTTTATAACTATTTACATTTATTCATCAATTGTCTTACACTGAGACAGTGCCACTATTTATTTATGTTTATAAAACATATTAAATATTATATTAAACTAATTACAAAAAAAAAAAATTATTTTATTATTAGTTTAAATCTAATGTTTAGTTTTGAAAACCAATAAAAATAAATTGACAGTAGTGCTATTTTTTTTTATTAGAGTATACTTTTTTAGTGATTATATAACAGGTCATCAAAACCAGTACCTTCTCAGCTATCGCATCGGAGCTAAAAAATACAAGTAAGCTACGCCTAATACTGAGTTCGATGTAGGTAAATAGACACAAGAACACTGAGTAATCTGTATTCCAATTCTAATATATTATTAATTATTTAACATTAGAGAGACAACGTATATTATTTATATTTTGTACGTAGAATGGCAATAATTAAAAGAGTCAATATTTTAATGAGTATTTAACTCATGAGAGCTTGGATTTTGAAATCTATTATATGATGTATTAAGTAAAATAACAAATAAAAGCCATTTTTCAGAAATTATTCGTTTATTAAACCCTTATTAGTTAACGGTACTGGTACTGGTTATAAATATTTAAGAGTGTTTCTTCAAACGTACATCAATAATGACAGTACACTGATCAAACATAGTCCTCGTAAAAACAATTATTCAAGTATTAACATATTTTAATCAACACTTGTAACTAAATAATGTGTTGAACTGGTTTAGTCCGTTATATATATATATATATATATATATATATATATTTATATAATTAGTATTATTAATATTTACTAATACCTCTATGATATACCTAGGTTGGTCGGTTTCACGCCTCATACAATATGATGTGTAAAAAAAATGTGTTAACAATAATAACCAATTTTTTTTTTAAAATTATTATATTTGTTTACACTGAAGTAAGTGGTTGTTTAAATTTTCCACTTTATTTTTTAAGTTTTTTATGGTACTAACTGTTTACACTGTCTAACTCGGTTATAAGTCAACCTGATTGAACTCATCTCCGTTAAATGCATCTTTAGTAGAAATTGGTATAACTATTTTAATATTAATAATACTTATAAATAAATCTTACAAAATAATAATAGATATCAAAAGTAATGAAACTTAAGATAATATTTTGTTTAAATTAACTAACGACTAAATTTATCCATTTAAGTTTTTCATTTTTAAATCATAAAATCATTGAAAACTTAGGAGATTTAGTAGTTTTTGGGAGACTTTGCCCTTTGAGGAGTCTCTTCCTAGCTAGTTATAAGTGCGTAAATATTAAAAAATATATATAATAAAATGGATTGTTTTTATTTTCATTCCATGTATTATTACATTTTCGATAAAATTATACAAATTATTAAGAAAGTTATTATAAATTTAGTGGCACTGTGAAGCGCCATCGTTTATCTTAGAATACTGTAATTTTAATGGGCAATGGCTTGTTACAAATTTGTAATGGTGCATGTAAATTAGGCAATACGTATAATGAAAATCCGTTATGAATCATAAATCACATTATCAAAGTATACAGTATTAGACTGTTCAGTATCCAGTATCGAGTGTTCGACTCTTTTTTATTTTTATTTTTTGGCTTTAATTTTTTTATTTACTCGCGTTAGTTTAAGCTGGTAATCAAGATTCGTTTTACATGACACTTTTATTTATATAAACATATAAAACTCTGCAATCATGCAAAACACGTTTTGACATTCCCGTCGAGGGTTGTTGTACTTTCTAACGGATTTGTGTGCAATCCGACTCGAAACGGGTTGTGTATAAGCGAATAGGTATTTAAATGCGACCGGTGTCGTGTCGTTGAGTTATAGCCTTATTATGTATATAATATATAAAAAAAAATATAAGGAAAAACATAAATTATATGTATATAAATATAGATAGCAAAGGCCAAGGACTAGAGAGAGAGATAGCTTTTTTTTTAAAATCCTTTGCGCGTTATGAACGAAAAACGGTATTAGTGTAAACAAAAACAAACGTCGACAACATTCAATAATACACTATTAATTTTGTAAGTAAGTTCTATTAACTTAGCAGACAATACTTAGTTATAATACACTATTAATTAAAAATAACAATATAATATTCATACATAATAATAATAATAATAATTTATCCACGTGCGTAAACTGTAATAACTGCATTGGCGATGGCCACCCGTATATTACACTCATATAATATATTCGTTTATACAAACGGGTGAGTGGGATGATCGGCGGCGGCGGCGGTGGTGTCTGGAAACCCGACTCAACGCGTCCGTCGTTGGCCGCTTATTGTGTATGCACCGTCGCCGCCGCCGGGACACATTTAGTACATATACAACACGCACAGTTGCACCACATCATGCACGGGTTACCCTTACGGTCGTTGTCCGTCGTGTTGTTTTTCATATCGACCGCGATCGCCACCGCCGACTATAGTATCGCGTCGGCCTTGCCAGGCGATTCGGTACGGGAAGCGCGTTGTATCGCCAAGTGTTACCATCAGCCGGCGCCAGAACAACCCAAAGTAGGTACGACTTTTTGTGTACGCAGCAGAGGTGCGAATAGCGTCTATTAAATGTTTACAAGAAGGATTAACTTGTTGAAAATACTATTTTTTTTTTAAAGACAACAAATTCAATTAAAAAGTTCACTTTAGACATTTGACGCGAAACAATAATGTTTTCCAACCGTTATGAAACAAGCAGAACAATAATTGTAATCAGTGCCCATTCAGTCTTAGTCTCGGGCTCTGTTCTCAGAGCTCTTTGGTAGAGTCCTTTTATTGTTGCTAGTATGCTCTCCTCCGATCAAAGGGGAGAGCCTTTAAATCAATTTTAAGGGATGTGGCGAACGTACAACTATAGAATTCCATGTCGGGACTACGTTTACGTTAATGGCGCAAATAAAGGAAAAAGTTTGTCCCCCCTCCCACCAAAATATTTTTTTTTATAATTCAATTATTATTCTCCCTCACTTAATTTCGTTCGGTTACTAGTTTAGGACTTGGGTATATTGAATTACCAGTGATTTTTATTTCAAGTAGAAAGCTGTACTTTAGATGGGGAAATTGTATAATTTATTATATTTGTTCTGGTATCAATAGTTTTGGTATTATCAACGATATTCTAATGTAATGTTTGGTAATAAACAAAAAATAGGAAAATTACTTAAAGTTTCTACAAATTAAAATAACTGTTACACAATATTTTTGGGTAAAAATGTGCTCTAGATTTATTCGTGCAAGTTTTGGCGCTTAATCTTTAAGACCGAAATGTCTTAAGACCTTAATAAGTTATTGCTAGAACGTAGAATTTAGATTTGTAAAAGCTACGATGACTACTCGCTTAGTCTTTTCCTCACTCAAAGGCGCCTTTGTTTCAGCCTCTTTGTAGAGGTTTCAATAATGATAGTCAAATGAACTAAACTGGAGATTTACAACGTTGTCATAAGTACTCAGAAATAAAACAAAAATGATTTCGTTCTTCGTGTAAATTTGTGAAAATGTTTAATCCCTACTTTTATGTTTTTACAGTTTTGCTTTGTACATGGTTTATAAATTCCATAACAAGTACATCTCACATAAAAAATAAAAGCATTGCTTATTAAAAATACTGTAGTAATTTAGATATAATTATTTGTATTATATCGTACATATTAAAATAAAATACTGTAGGTAAATGTATGTGTACAGCTAATTATAATTTTAAAAAAAATTGTTAAACTCATGCTTGACTCTAAATCATATTTAAAGGAATTGTTGGTCGACAATTTTTTTTGTTGGATTTTATTTGTATGTAAATTGAATGATTTAAAAAATATGATATTGGTTAGAAACTCATGTGGGTGCCTACCGTTTGTTGTTAAGTCTCCTTTTTGTAAACCGATATCGGTATTGTAGCAAACATATTTATTATAATTTTATTTAAAAAAAAAATCACAAAGTTCGAATGACAATGGATCTAGAAATTACAATAGAAAAGAACCAGTTTTGTTTAACACAATACTATACAACACATATACGCCCTAAAAATTCTATCTGTAAAAAATTTTGTTCTTGAAAACAGAAAATTGGCGTTCGATAAAAAATATTATATAGTGTGTTTTATGGAAAATTGTAACATTTAAACGATTGTTTCAGATGAAACTTGGTCCATAGTCATGACCTAGTGAAATAGTATAAGCTACTATATTTTAAGTACATCGTATAAACGTCATGTAAAGTATAATATTCGGTGCTATATAATTTTACATTCTTATGGTTTGTAATAAAATAAAACAAAGGTGTCGGGCACATTTTTTCGGTATACCAAAAATGAACCATTAAAAAAATAAACCATTTGCTGTTGAAACAAAATTATATTCCGTATATTTTATGGGTTTACTTTAAGTGGTCATGTGTTTTTTTTAACTACAATGTTTAACTAACGATAACCAGCAGGCGGTCATCTAGTTATTTTTCGAAGGGCAGGGGCAATCTTACATCCTACACTGCATGATTTTTTCTTGCCAAAACCATGTACAACACATAGTATTCTAAACAAGGATGACGTCCCATAATAACTGAATATGAATAATAATAATAATTACATAAACACATTGGTGTAAATAATTTTTCGTAAAAAATTAATTAATTATTCGATTATTTTGAGGTCTTTAAAAAGGTTGTTGGATCTATCCAAGTACCACTTTTCGTTACTTTTACTTTATTCTGTCTTAATCTTGGACTACCCTCTTTTCGATTCGTGGCGTGGTCCGATTTTGATAATTAATGTTTGTTTGAAAAAAGAGACTTCTTATAGGGCGTATTGGATTTTTTGATTATATTACCAAAGGTCATAATATTCAAAGTGTAGCAAAAACACAATTTTGTCAAATATTGCCTATATGCGTCTCCTTTATAAATAACTGTTTACGGAACCCTTTTATTGTCTCTAATCCGTAAGTTGGAAAACGGTGAATATTCCAAAGTCATATTATGTTCAAGCTAGTAACAAAATATCAAGTACCTTCCATTTTTATCTTATTTTTTAATTTTTTATTTAGAGAACTAAAAAAACATTTGTGATTAAACGTTTCTTCTTGGGCAATACATACCGACTTATGCGCAATGCATTCAAATACTGTACTAAGAAAAATCATAATAAACACAAACTTGCAGGCGCCTTGTCTACCGACCGCTGTAGAGCTGTAATGCAATCCGCTACAGTCGCATGTCGGCTGCTAATGGTCACCGATTTTACGATGCGACCACGCCGCCGCGCAGTACACAGACCATTAAAATATAATACTTAACGTGTCGGCTACGGAATAATGGTTTTTTTCTTGTGACTTCATAGTGTTACAGTGGATGTTGGAACGAGCCGTGGATTAAGCCGGGCGGGTGTCCGGTCGCCGACCTTGATGATGTTTCTCTGGACCGTCCGTGTCTGGAGCAATGCGACGCCGACGACTTTTGCCAAGGCGTTTATAAGTGCTGTCGGCATAGTTGTGGTATCACGTGCCAACCGCCAGTCGGCCTCAGCGACTATCCCGGTATGATTGTGTTGTAATTAAAGTATAAACTGTAGGGGATGTTTTTGTGGAGTAGAAAATAAAAACCGCAGACATATAGTGTTGACGTTTGGTTAGCAATCGAAGGTCGAAGGAAACAGTGAGTGCGAATGAAGAATATCAGTCATGTGCCTTTCGATGGTACACGTGGTGGGTGGAATTTGAGTAAAGGGAGAAGCCCTTATGATTATGATTGCAAGAATTATTTTTAACTAGTTAACTAATTGTGTACCTAATCGTTTCTCGAGAAAATAGAAAAACTATTAGAGGCGACATTTAGAAGGTTAAAAGTAAACGTATTAATATGTATTTAACCGATTTTCAGCTTCGACGGGAAGCTTACAAGGTAACGGTTTACAACGGTTAGGGGGTATTTTTTTTTTGTATATGAATTGTTGGGATTTTGGTAAAATGTTAGAAACATGAAAACAAGAGCTGCTAATAGGTAGTAATGGGTGGGGGGGGGGTAGTTAATATACTATTACTAATAAATAATGTAAATGTAATAATCGAATGATGTCTAACCAAGGTCTCCCAGACGAGCCGACTATAGTGGCGGTATCTGATTATGGTAAAACGCTGCAAGTTGAATGGACGTTGATGAACCGTGGTAATCATCATGTGACATACTTGCTGCAAGAACGGCACCACGTGGGCGTTAAGTATGTGCCCGAACGAATGACTCCTTGGGTGACCGTAGCCAGAACAGACAAGACCCGGGAAGTATTAAAGAAAATACCAACGGCCGGAAGATGGTTTCAGTTCCGTTTGGCCGCTGTCAATGAAAACGGCACAAGAGGATATTCAAAACCGTGTCGGCCATTTTTCGTTAATCCCGGTCCGAGTAAATATGAACATCAATTCTATTAATATATTTTATCAGCTATAATATATTGTAATGTATTTTTTTTTTTAAGTTAAGTTCGTTTAAGTATAATACAACTTTAAAAAAAAGCCCACTGCCAAAACACTCACGCATAACTGCCTCAAATCCGCAACACAAATCATATTTACACTTTTTTTATGCTTTAATTTACATTATTTTACAATTTTTAAAAGTTTAACTATTTTTGATTTTTTTTTTTGACGGTATTATGTTTTAAATTTCTAATGGCGACCTATGTGTTTTTTATTTTTGTAATCTATACATCGTAATTGACAATATAATGAAATCGTAATTTTCCCTTTTTTTCTTGGTTTTCCAAAAAAAGTTTTGACTACAGTTTCTGTAAAAAAATTGTTTAAGTTCTTACATATTATAATAATAACTTAACAAAACTGGTTTTTGACCACTCGACATTTTATAAAGATTAATCTCGATTTAAAAATATATAAAAATATGTACATTGCCAATCTTAGAGTTCTGGAAAAAATACTAATAAATATACGTGTTTGGATATTATAATGAATATAAATCATTATAGAGGTGTCTCAAAAATAGCGCAATTATGTTAAAAGTTGCGCTATTTTTGGGACACCTTATATAATAAATAATGTAAAATAATTAAAATAAATATGTTTGCAATAGGGAAAAATACAAATTTTTTTTTTTTATAGAGAAAATGAGTGTCTTGTGTTAGTTAAATTAATAACCAACCCAATATATATGTTAGTTGCTATTATAAAAAAATTAATATTTTATTTATCTAACTAACCACCTATTTTACGGATCAAAGGCTGGCTTCATTTATAGTATCAAATAATAAACTATTATAATTGGCACTGATTATGTTATATTGTATAACTAATTATAAGTTATTTAATAGATAAACTGTTTTGAATTGCTCAAGTATTTGACAACGAGTGTATCAATGTATATGAGTCGTATATTATTTGCCTAACTCTATAAATAGCGTTAATGATACAACGTTTGTATTTATTTCTCATCAAATAAAAATTAATAATATAAACAAAACCATATTGTTCCATAATATGTTCACTAAAATTTTCTTACAAGTATAATTTTTTGAATTAGTGGTTTCAGTATAATATTTTATACAATTTTCGGGTACGTATAGGCTTTCTGATCTTTGCCCTCTCGCCGTCCAAGTCTAGTATGTTGATTATAAAAATTATGTTTGTTATTGATAGTTATGAATTAGAACCAAATGAGATAATGGGGTAAACAAACGAGGCAAGTTAAACGCGATTTGTTTTAATTAAAATAAAGTATTTTCAATATTAAGACGTTGACGTGTTATAATAAATAAATAAATTCACTAAAATTGTTGAATTAAAAATGTCTTTTGTTTTCAATTAGTCCAGTTAACTCTATTAATAATATAATTATAAATACATTAATTTAATATTCAACAAAAACCAATTTTAACATTTCCCACTGTATTTAGTTATTTTTTAAAGTATCGCTGTAATCTACATTGTATAGTATACTAGAGGCCGCTTAGCATCATCATGTATTAGCTACGATGCGGACCTGAGAAGGTATTAAATCTACAATAATGTCTGTGTTTTTTTTTTTTTTAATTTTTGCTTAGATATCGATCCACCGGGGCCGCCTGAGAACCTCAAGGTGACTTCGTTGAAATGGACGGATAAAGGGTATCAACAATGCGTGCTATCGTGGACGCCTCCCGTCAAAGCCATGCTGCCCGTACGCAAGTACAAAGTGTTCATAAGCGAACAAGACGGATCCCATCTATATCACAAGCGGCATGTTTTACCAGCAGTAAGTATTACAGAACCGGCTCTATACAGCCAGCTCTATTTTGTTTAGCGTTCTCTACATATTTTCTAAACAAATTTGTATTGTGTACATGTTTTAATTTAGAAATCATGATATGTAAATTATTAGATCCCTTATGTTTAAAAAATTAGAGGGTACAGTAAAAACCTAGAGCCTTATATTTTACACAACGAATGTACACTTAAAGTTAAATTAAGTGTTTTGTTATAAATGTTATTTTATTAAAATTTGTTTTAGGGAAAATGTATTCGGTATTTATCCAAATATTCAGTGTAACATCTAAGCCAGTGATTAAAAGTTGTGTAAAAATTTACAAATTTCAATGTTTTTAATTTTCACTATGACGGGATTTCTACACACATTAACATAATAAATAAATGAAAATAAACGGTCCAGATATAATATTCGTATATTTTTCACAAATCTATTGAAATTGATTTTATCAACTCGACTATCTATTTAATGGAAATGAGCGTACATAACGATTTATTTTAATTCAATAATTATTGATAAGGGTTAAAGACGCCGGAAGCGTTTAAAAGTGTATCACTTTGTAAATTTTAGTTGTATTTATATAGTTGAGAAATTTTAAATTTTAAAAAAAGAACAGTAGGCGTATGCTGAAGGTGTTAGTAACTCGGACAAGTGCAGGCCACCGTCAGGTTGATTTCGATGAACTGCCATTTTTCTTTCAAGAAGTTGGGTAGCATGTCTTTTTGACCATCGTCATACGACATTCCATTGCCATATTTCTTGACAAGTACTGGGACTGGGTAAAATATTGGCCGGCACCACTGGTTGCCGTGGCATGTGACCATCGGAAGCACGGGGGGGTAGTGATCGGCCTCCAGCTGTCTTATTTCATGTTTGGTATTGCAATTACACACCCCATTAGACTGTACTGCCACCATTTCTGGATAACGTTTTCTCGGTTGACTGCCAAACGATTCAAGCAAATCGTACGACCCTTGGTCGAACTCCCACTTCCATTTTATCCTGTCGGCTGTCGATAGACATGCGAATGACACACACGATGCTAACGCCTGCGTGGATTGAAAACAAAATTACAATTCATTATTAATAACTAATAATCAGGGGTTGGGAAATAACTATAAAATATATCTAATTATTATTAGTTGCATGTTACCAATTTCGAAAGCTTATAGTAACAATAACAAATTCGCGATAACCACACTCCTCCGACAAGTCTAGTAAACATTTTTGGCGTAGTGAAACGATATAAGGTGTCAGGTTTGTTACTAAATCATAAACGTTTTGGATCCGATTTTTGCAGTACTGTGAAACAGAAGATGTCCGTCCCAGCTGTATACAATATCTGTTTGATTGAGGAGAAGGGGTACGGGCGTCCTTAGAGTAGAAAAAGTGTGGTCGGATGACTTTAACTTGAACTTGATCTTTCTGCTTGCAAAGATGACACAAACGTGTTTTGTGTTTAAAATGTGTCTTTTAGGGTGACAAAAAGAATACGAGCCCAGCAATAATGGTGGTTGTTGGAAATTGAATATGAAAAACCAAAGTAATTAAGATGAAAATGGTATGAAAACTGTATCAGTTTTCTTTGTAACTTTGAAACCATCGGTGTCTGGAGCGATACATTAGACAAGCATATCAATCGTTAATCGTTTACAAAAAGTATTACAGGATATAAATAAATTAAGAATGCTAACTCCGTCCCACTTAAAATTAATAAAACATCATTTATTTTAACTTTGAAACGTCAAGGACAATAAATATTTAACTAAACCAACATGGCATAAATCTAGCACTGTATGGCCAATAATAATTTAGTAAGCTAACATAGTAGGAACCTTGAACATTAAAAAATTCAGCAAAAAATATTCTAAACATAGCATAGCCAGTATTGAAAAAAGTTATACGAGGCAGTTATTATAGTGAAATAATCGGTTTCAAATGTTTCGGTCCAAATTTTGAAATAGTGTAAAAATCCAGAACAGTAAAAAATTAGTTATTCCGTGTTTACTAATTCATATATTTTAAGTGTTAAACAAATAAAGAATAAACTAGTTTTTAAGACCGGTTAGTATTTTAAATTAGCAATGAGAATTCGAAAATCCGGATTTTCTCAAAAAACTATATTTTAGTCTTTCGAAAACATAAAAAATACAAATATAAATAAGTATTCAAGTAAAACATTTTTATGTTGTATTAGAGACATTTTACATTGAATTTTTTCAAAAAAAATTTAATATATTTGAGTGATGTGTTATTTTTATATTTGAGGCATCTAGAACCATATTGGCCCAACCCACAAAAAATGAAATTGTGTTTTATTTGAAAATATGTAACAGAATTGTATTTTCTACCAGTGCCAAACTGGCCCAACGCCCCAACCCTCAAAATTATTATTCGCTAGATAGCAGCACATAATTAATTTTGTCATTGAAATTTTAATAATTATCTTCAGTGCCTAAAAAACTTAAAATGTATGATGTATGTAACTACAATATTATATTCATAGTATATTAACTATAAGTGCTAATGCTGAGTATTTGAGTAAAACATACTACACTGATTTGGGATATATTTTCAAATGAATGTATTCAATTTCATAGGTATTTATAAAATATCGTAGCTTGTATAAAATACTTACAAGATATATTGTTAATAATTTAAGATGAACACATTCGAAATTTGTTATCCGCGCTATGTGAACATTTCTTACATAGACCACCCTTTGTTTTGTAATTAACACTCCAAAGTTGTTTGCGTTTTATACCTAATGTTGTGTGGAGGTCGCTATTTTAAGTAATATTGCCAATCCTTAAGGATTGAAAATATTAAGGCTCTCTACTTCCTTTTATCGAAATCACACTTCCGAATGGATATTACTTGGGACCGAAAGTTTATGAATTCCATGTTTTTGTTTCATTAGTGTATTTTTTTTAAAAAGTACTTTTAATTAAATTTTTTATAATTTATTAATAAATATTGTATACTAAATTTGTTTTATGAAGACTTGTAGTTTAAATTAATCTTAATGTAATAAAAACGTAAAAACTAAAAAATGTTATTAAAAAAAAAAAGAAAACATTTTTTAAGTGCATATTGGGGCTTTTAGTATTGCACATATAGGGTTAACACCTAGGTAATTGTAGCTTATAAATGCATGCATATTTCGGTAATTTTAAAGCATATACATTTGGACTTAAAGTGTAAGGCCAAAACATGTGTAACCAATAATTACATTTTCGATACATTAAAGCTATATTAACTTAAAACGTATACAATTTGATATATATTATATATCCGTTGAATTTGTGAACATATGATATAATTATTTTAATAAGATTAAAATTAAACTATGAAAAATACCGTTAGAATAATATTACCCATTATCATGATTTGATGTTGACTGTTCAACTGAAAAGTCGGTTCTTAATCGCAAATTAACCTTTATTCTCGTGGGTGATTAAAAATTTTAAATGTATGTGGACAAATAATATAAATATATATTTGGAAGTGCTCATAACACTCTTAAGATTTGCGCGTATGGCCATTTTCCTCACTCAAACGGATAATATGATATTTATTAAAATCTATCTTAATGACTTAGACTACAGACTGGCTTTATCGGGTATAAAAATAAAAATATTCAAATTACATAGAATATCAAGTAGGCCGTGTAGGCTGACCCCAACGACATCATTGACATTTTGCGACCAACGAAAAAATAATATGTAAAATCTAAACGATGAACTTTAATGAAATCTAACTGATATTATACTAAATGAAGGGTACATGGAAATAATAGGTAAGTCACTTTTTTGAATTAATGAAAAACATACTTAAATAATGCTAAAAAATGTTAAAAAAATACTTATAAACTTTTAAAAAATGTTCAATATTTGTTTTCAATCTTGTTTAAAAATAAAGAACAGATTCGTTTCGTATGAAAACTGATTTATAACGAAAAAAAGGTCCATTTTTAAAAAGTGACTTGCCTGTTTTTTTCCTGTATCCTTCAAATATAAAACAACAACGAATGACTGTACGTTTTCTTTGAATTAACGACTATTTAATAGTTAATCATGTTTGAGTTAAAAAATAAAAATGCAATTTTCCAAAAAATATGTACTCACGTATAATGCCCAGATTGTGATACCTCTCAAGACAACGTGCATCGTTTGAATGAACTCAACGATAAGTTGTCTCTTTTTCCACCCTTCACTATTTTTAGAACCTTATTGTATTTTCTATAACAATAGAACTACCCTCGACTTTTCCTAATGGACCACGTAACAAGATAGGTGATCCGCGACTATTATTTTGTTGTACGATGACGTCATTTATCTGGGTTAAAACACATTATATATTATTATTATTATTCTGACAATTCTTTCCTCCCTCCTATCAGGATACACTGAGGTTTCCCATCAGAAAGCTGAACGCAAATTCCGAATATTTTCTTCAAGTGCAAGCCATCAGCGAATTCGGAAGAAAGAGGCTGGCCGGTCAAAAGGCTTCGGTGACATTGAAAACTGAAGGTGAATGAAAATAAAACTATAATACATAATGTGCTATGGTGAATAGGTATAGTGTTATATATATATGGATATGTTACGGTTTAACTTAATACTGCTTGATGTAATAAAAATACCTAAAATTGTAAAACAAGTACACAGATTAATGTTAATTTCACAGAATTATTACTTTCAGAATAAGTTAATATTACTATATTACAGTATCTATAATATAGCCTTACGTAGTATATATTATTTTAATATAATTATAATGTATATTATTAGTTTATTCAAACAGGAGTTTTTATTATATTGTTAGAATTTTGCCCCACAAATTTTGACAAAACCTTTGATTATATTTTGAAGTACGCATAGGAACAAGAAAATATTTAAAATACCATCGACAAATTATTATGTTTCTTAATATAAGTGTATTAAATCTTTTATAAATGTGTGTACAGTTTTAACAAAAAAAAATGTATTCTTCTATTATAAAAGTGTATTTTCAAAGAATTTGGAGATTAAATTGGTATGTTTTCGTTTTCGGTATTTTAAAGTGACTCAATTAAAAAAATACTGTTTACCGATGCAAAAACTGGATGTACGAAATCCTTATCAATTTTTTTTGTTACAAATAATAATAATAATTTGAATATTTGTTAAACATTTTATATTCTTTTGACACATGTTTGCAATTGTTTTTTATTCGTTTACGTATCGATAACCGTTGGACAAATGAGTAATAATATTTTTCGCTTAGTATCGCTTACACAAAAAAACGAGCATGGTTTATCACATTGCTATGATATTGTCAGTTGCTATTTGTATTATTTTATCAAAGAATTTATTTATTATATCGCGTGATCGAATATTTTACACTACACCCACTCATTTAGTAACATATGATATTTGTGTATGTACATTGTATGAGTACACAAATACATGTAGTAAGAGTACTTAACCCATTGATTGTATTTTTAGGCAAGAAATTGTCGAAAAATACGAAAAAACTTAACGGATTGAAAATCGTCAAGTTTATCAACAGCACTGGTGGCGATACGTTCAACGTGAGGATATCTTGGCGACCGGTCGGGGTCAATATGATATCCAATCAGACTGTGTACACTTTTTCGTGTATACCAGACAACTGCCCTTTAGACAGCAAGGCGTTCAATACGAAAACCAGAGTAAGACAATATTATTACACTTAGGTATGCCTAAAAGTCAGCACTGTTTAAACCTACCGAAAAAACCTACCTCATTGTCAAATTCCTCTTTCTCCCACTCGTTTGGTCTTGAATAAATTATGTATTTTGTTCAATACCATTAAGATTAGATAACTTTCTAAGACCAGTGGCGTAATTTAGACCCTGTTCTCATAATTGGAGTTCCTAATTCGCTATTTTAATTACAAATACTTGTGGTATGATCTCTCCTACAGGGCAAGCTTCAAATCTATTTACAAAAAATATATAGGTACAACTCTTGAATCGGTACATGCAATATTAGTTGATCTCATATTGATTTCCGGAGATGAGAGAAGGGGCACTTGTAACCTCTTTGTGACACTCCTCAAGATTACGCATTATACAATTAACAAATGTACACGAGATCGCCGGCCACCGTACTAAAGAGATTTGTTTGCGCGATAAGATATGGACAATATTATATTTCAAGTTACAAAAATTACGACGTTATTTAACGTTAGTGCGATGAAAGGAAACTGCTTGTTGCAAGACCGACCTGCCTATCAAAACTATTTATGTATAATATTATACTCCCAGTTTCCACACCCTCAGTCCTGCAGTTAAATATCCTTATGAAAACAGTATTATGTAAAATAGTTTAGTCTATAATGTTCATGGGTCAGGTTACATTAGGCTTTATAGCCACCCGCCGTTTGGATTAGCAATACATAAGTATTTGGTACCCAGGCTCGATATTTTTTTAGAAGAAAAATGTTTCTAAAATTAGCTTTTTACTATTGAAAAAAATATATTTTTTTATAAATTTACTTCAGATCTTTTGTCCTATCGCCAAAAATGTCATAAGATACCATTATGTTATGGATACATAACTTTACTATATTATTATCATTCCATAATTTAGCAATTGTGTTAATATAAATATTTATCTGCGTTTTAGTTGGCGTACTTCGACATGTTTTCGCTGAATGGGTTGTGCAAGTATCTAATTGTTGTAACGACCGGGTACAACGGATCCAAATACATGGCGTCCCTTAAGATTGGAATACTTACATAACTAGTGTTTGTACATTTTTGAACATCGTTAGTGGGTGATTGTACTTAGGTATCCTACATTATAATAGTATTATAGTCGTTTTAAAATATTTAACTCGATAGTTGGAGTAGAAACAACGACAAGGTTTTACAGAACGGCAAATTGTGTACTAGAGTGTAAGCTAATAGTTTTTTAACATATACAATATTACTATAAGTGAATAAAGTTTTTTTAATAAAAAGTTAACAGACTGGTTATTTATTTAACTGTTCGAGCCTTTTAATCTAAGTATAAACAATCTATGTGTTCACATAAAACGATGTTTCAGTTAATGCCACTAAAATAATATCAACATTATTTCAGCCGCTTGGTTTATAATATTATAATCTCACCGTGTAGTTTTATTTAACTAATAAATCAGTAAATAATCATAATACACCCGGACGTTGCTGGATGTATAGCGATTATACAACAATCAATTCATCAAAAGACAAAAGTCATAGGTCATAAGTTTCCATGGATATTTAGATAATAATAGAACATCTATTTTTTAAGACCCTATATAATAATGAAATTAACAATTTATTTATTTAATACAATTATTTTTAAAGTAATTCATAAATAAAAAAAAAACCTACAAAAAATTAGGAAGCTTGCTATAATAGTACAGTACTTATTACTTTATTAGATATACAAGAGTATTAATGACATAGTGCACTTAGTGTTTTAAGTGTATTATTCAGATTTTTACAGGAACGAGATTTAAAAATTATAATTTCATATCATAATAAATATCTGGATTTTAATAATTCTACACAAGGTGCATTATGAAATCGGTTTATAAAACATGATTTTTTTAAAAACGAGGCTTCATATAATACTAAATAATTTATTATTAATTCAAATTACTCTACTATTAAAAAAGTTGGAGAAATTTTAGTTTAAAGTTACTTCAAAAGTATGAAATAAATAACATTATTGAATAAAAAGTTCCTTAAATAAAAAAAAACTTAACATATGTTTAAAAGTAAGTAATTTATTTAAAATATAAGTATATCGGGAATGAAAATTAAATTTTAAATACAAAACGCACTACTATTAAATTAAGGACATTCAATGCAAAAAGGAATAATTTTACATTGTTTTTTATTGTAAACAAGCTGTCCCGAACCGCGGTTGTCCGGGATTTAGTTTGCCAGGGCTGAGTAAAATAATTACAAATAAGATTAAAAAAAATCAGTAATCCGGGCTGTATATTGTAAAGCTTTAGCATAAAGGACAAACAAACAGACATAGATTTAAAGGGATATCAAAATATGATCAACTTTTGTCAATTACTTTAAATTGTATTCAAACCGTCTATTTTTTTTACTAAACAAAAGGTTAGATTGGTAATAAAATAAAAACAGCATATTAAATTTAAGTGCTATCACATTTTATTTAAAACATACTTTTTTCGGAAAAACTTCTTTTAGTTAAAATCAAGGTTTTTTTAATTTTAATCGAAATTATTCTTGTAATCAAATTTTCCTTATAAACTGCTGACATCTATTTAATTTTAAAGTCATTTAAAATTTGCTCTACTGAAAATCTTGAAAATGAAAGAAGTGCTTTTGCATTGAACCCCTTGGAAAGCTTTTTAAGGTTTTCAAAATGTAATGCGTCAAGTTAAAAGTTATCAACAAATTAATAACTTTTAATTTTTAAGTATTTACTTCCTTGTCTTTTTTTAAAAAACACTTAAATTGTAATACTTAGTAATTGCTAAATAACATGTTTATACTTAAATTATTTTTAATTAAATTCTACTAAACCAATTCATTTAAATTTAATATGTGTTTAAGAACAGACGATCAATGCATACTAAAAATTGAAAATTACTAGTAATTTTCCAAAAAAAAAATATCTTCATGTAATATATGTTAAAAATTAGGTATTAGCATTTATTATAAATACTAATATTTATAATCATACGTATAATCATATGTATTAGCATTAAGTATATATTAGACAATAGACAATATGTATGCCATGGTGTAATACCTTCAAGTATTCTGGTGAGGGAGTGCAGTGCTAAGACAATAATGCTATTATTGGTGCTATCTAGCGATCCCAATGTGCGTTAGTAAAGTAGTTTATTATTATATCAATAGGGAGCAACACGAACTGTGTTTTGGTTCTGATTTTAAAAAGAAATGTAATCCACTTTAAAGTATTTAATTTTTGCAACAAGCTTAATTATTTGCTATCAGAATGCATTATACACTAAAATATTGAGCTTACTATTTTCAATGTTCTACTTAAGAGGAACCCTCTCGTCATACCCTCTAAAAATAATCGTAAAAGCGAGTTTATGGAAAAGTCAAACAGATGGTCATAGAAAAACAGTATTCATACCGTTAAAAAAAGAGAAGAACTATAACTAGGTTCTATCGACGGTTTTTTTTAGAAAACTTAAATTTTACCTTAAATACAAATACTAAAATAGTAAAAAACTGCTAATATTAATATATAAGTGGTGAATGTTTGGTGATTAGTATAACAAAAAAAACTACGGCTATTCTTTAGTCAATAATATAGAACATGCCTAGCTTTGTTTAGAAGATTATTTTTTTTTTAAACGCTATCTGGTATGCTGTTGTGATAGTCTCAAAAATACATTATCTACTAAAATAGAGTCCTTCAATTATTTTTCTTCACTATCTTATTTTTAAAAATGCAAAAACCATTCAGAACATTTTAAAAACACACAGACAAACAATACTACTTTTTTACATTCTATATTTTTTATAAAACTACCAAACAGTAATTTATTATAAGGTTTTGACAAAATTCCTTTTTTATTTTGATATTTTACATCTCGAGGGATAGTCTCCTTTTGTATAACCCTCTTATATTACAACTAAAATTTAAATCTACGTACTATACAAATTATAATAATTATTTATAAAATGTAAGGTTTAAAAATGGTATTAGAGACGTTTTTAAGGGAGTTATTAGTCTATTCATACATATGTATCCCAATAAATCATTTCGTTTAATGGTCGATAAGTTAAAAAACAAAACAAAAGTGTCTTAATATTAAAGATATAATATGGGAACTGAGTAAATAAATACTACAATAATATAAATAGTTTACACTGTTGCCAACAAATCAAATTTGTGTAAATAAATTTACCAGTAAATATGTACATATCAAAACGGTCATGTAAATATTTTTATTTAGTTTACTAGGTCGGTAATAGGAAAACTATATTACCTAGCTGGGAAAACAGAAACTTATGTTATGGTATTTACTTAATTCCCACATATTATAATATCACATCTTTTAATGATTATGTTAAAACACTTATGCACTCTTTATACTAAACAACCTTTTACAATGAGCTAGGGATAGGGTTTTGTTCGGATATCAGTAGTTACTTTTGTATAAAAGTAGTAATGACACAAAAAATTCACTTGTTATTTGACAATTTAGTAAGAATATAATGAAATATAGAAATATTTGTATTACTAACTTAATATATTATATTTATAATTGAAATCTGTGAGTCGAAATACACTGCGCATGTCAGACATCAAACGGTTTTGATAAGTGGACAGATGTAGTGGGGATTAGAATATTATTATTAACTATACTATATCACTACATATACGCAGCATAGCTTAAAGTCGCAGTTTTACCTATATGTTTTATTTTCAAATGATTAGAATAAGTCATTGTTATCAAGATGATTATAAAATTTAATTATTTGTGGCATTGTCCATAGACTAGACCTATTATCCAGTAACCGCAAAACTAAAGTAAAGGCAAAGCGGTATTATTAATTCATCATCTAATTATCATACACATTCAATATGCGAATAGACTACATCACCATATTATAACGAATATAATACTAACAAGTTACTAGTGCACTTATGTATTCAAATTTGATATTTTTATAACAAGTATATAACCTAATTTCTATACAAATATTTAACTATATTTATTCCATCGTTTATTAAATACATAAAGTTTTATGATTTAATATCAAATTTTTCTAAGTAATATATTACTATTTTATAATTATACACATTTCTGTAATTGGAGTTATCTTTAAAATAAATAAAATATGTATAAAGTGATTACTTAGAAGTAATATAAGACGTTATTCCTAGTTAAAGTGTAAGTAGAAGAATTGTATTCTCCATTAAAGGTGAACGTTTAATTTTTTTTCATTCTATTATAATATTGGATACACTACTATAATAATCGTTTTATTACTAATTGATATTATTAAATTAGCAGCATTTAAAGTTTAAACAATAATAATGAATTTAAAAAAACGGCTGAGATGTTACCTACAAATGAGTGTCGTCGTATTCACAAGTACAAATAGGTTGTACCTACGCCTCTATAATAATCAAGGTGTTCTAACTGGAATTCACTTTTCCCAGAAACATCTTGAAGTATTAAAACTGGTGCCTTAGGGTTCTATTAGCTGTTTCACAAACAGCTCTAAATATCTTCAGACACAACGCACTGTTATAGATTTGTTTAAACATATAAGGTTATTAAATGTATTTGAAGGGCTGCGGGGAAAAAAGACCATTGTCAACTTTTTTTGAAAATGAGATTTTGGTATCAAATTATTTGTATTGACGTATTGTGTGCTCGAACCAGGAAAAAACAGATTAGTCGAGAGTAACGACCGCCGAAAGTTTAGGCATACAGGCAAAATGTATTACGTTTTGAAATTAAAAACATGATTTTCTCAGAATAAACAAAAATTGACATTAATCTTTTTTCCCCGCAGCCCTTCATTTGTTTATAGTTGTATTTTAATTAACGATTAAAATTTTAAAAAAATAAGTGTCTGAGGGGTAATTTTGTATTTTGCAAATAAGTTTTACAACTTTTTTTTTATAAATTGTACTTACAATATTTCAGTTATCCCATAGAGATATTGTATATTTTGTATTTATTTATCGAGTTCATAACGTATGTATATATATTATATATATAAAGGTAAATTAAAGTGGACAGTTTTTATTATACTTATTTAAATATAACAGACAATAAGCATTTGTCTAAATTAAAAATAATCTTTTTGTATTATATTGTTGCCAATTGTTTAAACATATTTACTCAAACCAAACGTCATGCATATGTGATTTACTGATTGTTCAAACGATCCTTCTTTATTTTGTCTAACATATTTGTCACGCGAAATCCTTCGTAAGAGTCGTTAGAGCATTGTAATAATATATTAGCAGACATGCAAACTGTACATTTATCTTATGTCACGGTACAGCACAAACTAGATGTAACTAATACAAGGGTATTAAACCTACCCGGATTTTAACCCGTGGGTTTTTATTACCCGTTAAAAACCGTGAGACGTAGTACACACCTGTAAGTCTGTGGACTAGAGTCTGTAAATATTGAGATAAATTTAATTAAGCGAAAGGGGGGGGCCTCTTTTCGGCATTTCAATAATTGAGGTAATGCTATTTTCTAAATCTTGATTGATGTTTGAACAATACAAGAGCTGGAACATCTCTTTAGCTAAACAAATTACTAAGTTATTACACTTGAAGTATTTTCCTTTTATATGCATTACTCCGAAGGGGACATATTGGCTTTTTATCACATATGTAATCTATTGAGATGAGTGTTTACAGCAGCTGTGGTGGTACCAGACGTTTTCACCGATAGACAAATATTTTCCCTAATAATTATAATCACAATAAGTAAATGTTCGTACTTACAATTAGTTACTTTTAGCGAAATTTCGATTTCTTTAAATTTTACAAAAGGCCCTAAGTATTAGAATTAGCGGATTTGCTCTTCCATATCTAGCTCATCCTCTTCTGCGTGGTTAAATCTCAGGACCCATCTAATGTTTTATTGTTTTTAAGTACACACGGGTACATTGTAGCTGATTAGAAAAAAGACAAAACATTATACGACCGAGTGGGGTGTGTGTGTATGTTTGTTTGAGCCGACATTATTCGTGTGCGAGTGTTTTAAACGAGTATTCCAATTAATGGTCAATGCAAGTGGAACCAGTTTTTTTCTTTCAAAGAGGCCTCCCGAAAAATAACACACACACACATACCGATATTCATAGACAAATACCATTAATTTCATCCTGTTTGTTTCCAGTTCTCGTATGCGCTGCACCGCGATGGTACGACGGTCAAGAGAGGAGGAAAAAGTGGGTCAACCCGCGTTATTATAACTCTGGAAACTGTTGATAATTATTATTATGGCACATTATCGGTGTTATTAAGGAAAAAAAATAGTTGATCGGTTTTTTAAAAATGTCAAATTTAAATATGAAGAGGATGCGGTGATAAATTTGATGCTTTGTGTGTCGTATGCGTATTATAAAAATATATAATAATTAATGTGTATTTTTTATTATTTTTTATCAGCTTCCAGATTATATTTGATTATTGTTCTGTTGTCCCGTGTGCGCATTTCTATACCGGATATGGACTGATAAAACCGAGAGGGCCACAGTCAAACGTTCGGCGACACGTTCAGTGTTAGTGCACTTGTCTGTGGCCGGACCAGTTTTGGTATAGAGATATTAAATTTTAATCGAGTGTCGTTTGTTTTAGCACCAGAAAAATTATACAACAAAAACACACATAATAATAATATAGTAATGACCGTGTACTATTCGGTTGTCGTTGCCGTTTACTTGGCCGTCGGTTGTGGTCGCTTGCTGCCATCGGTCGCCAGGCTGGCAAAGAACGACGAAAAGTGTCCGGAAGTCCGAGCTAGAAGTAATTGCGACTTGGACGCCGTAAGCATGCGTTTTTTCACCGTCCAACTGACACAAATACATGGCTAGTATTTATAGGAGGAAAGGGGGTTAAAAATAGATTAAAATTTAGCAACGATTAATTCCCAAGCCAAAGCTAAGAGTTAAAACAGACAGATGAAACAGACTAAAGATAGGCTAGTTCCAGGTATTCTATTCTTCAATTCGAGAACGGAATTTAATATTATTATATGTACATCCATATTAAATTTCGGTGGATCGGTATTGCGACATTCACCACTCCGAGCCAAACCCCTAATATAACAAATTACATACACGCAGTATAGGCTGGTCAAGGTTAGGTACCTTAAAATGTTATTAATGCAAATTTATTCAAAGATAATAACATTCTGAATCAATTGTCACAGATGATGTTTTGAGAGCCTTGAGGATATACTACAAACACGGTTGTGAGAAAACATTCTGAACAGGTATTCCTAGAAAATGAAAAGTGGTTAGACAAGGGGGGGTCCATGATTAAGAGGCAGTTCATCCGCCCTCATACACGAAAGTCATTATCACCAAACAACCTCCCCAAATACCTGCTAGGAAAACCATTCAAAAATATATTTTTAAAAAAACGGGTTCTGTTGTATTGAAATAAAATATGAATAAACTAGCCAAACTGACTCCTAGACATTATATTGAAGCAATTTCTTCTTGATAGAAATATTTTCCAATTAATCTAATAAGAAAAGACATATCAGATAACAGGACATTTTTTAAGCTTGTTTTCTGTGTCCTAATGGTCAATGGATCAACTGGGGGTCCTCTATCCAAATAACGATAGCTAGAATAAAGTTGCTGGTTTAAAGTTAAGTTAAAAATATTTGATAAGTAACTGGCCATTGGGAAAAAGTGTACAATAGAAAAAATCTGACAGATAACATGCAAAATGTATATTTAATCAATGACATAAGTACGGCTATATTATATATAAATATTGGTTGGATTTAAGATTTCTTAGTGGGTATTTTTAACTTAAGTCTAATTTTATAATACAGCGAACTTGCGAGGGTTTGTGTGCTACCCACGACGTTTTTCGTTCTTCTTTCGCGTTTTATTTAAGACCACCGCTATGATCAATATTCTATTATTTAACCAAGGATCCTGTATGTATTCAGACTATATCTATACCTAGTATGGTTTAATGTTCGAATTTATTTATACATACAACCTTTTCATTATTTGAGATAAAACAAAATCTAATCGTAGTTGAAAGTATAAAAGCGAACATTTATTTATAAACATTCCTCCAGCCTACAAGTTTAAATATTAGTATTACAATTAATTAATAAGTACATTGGGGTTTTGACAGTTAATAAAAATGTTAATACTTTTTTTTTCTTTCGAATATTTATAAACGGTATATTAAAAATTTGTCTTAGTAAATAATGAGCAATGTCCAAAAACTATAAAAATGTACCCTATTCATAATGTTATATTTTAAAAAGACGGCTACCTAATTAACCGCGAATTAAACAATTTTTATTCAGGAAAATTAAATAAATGGGCCACCAGATATTTTTATTGTGAGTATTAAATTTGTGATTGCACCTGGGAGTTTATTACATCAGTAAATGGAAACTCTACATTATAATTATAAAACAATTTTTTTTTTTTTACATATTGGATATTTTAAAATATTCTCATTACTAAAATAGCTTAAATCTAATTAAAATACTACTTAATTTTTAAAACTGTAATAAGATATAATTAATGCGAAGGGTCACTAACTACAGTTGTGTTATTGTTCTTAATCGTTATTCTTTTGGTTCCATAATGATATGTGGGTTAATGTAAATAAAAAACACCCCGACCTTCTCCACAATTGTTGTTATAGCTGTACATTTTTATAGCGATCATTAATCAAAGATTTTATGTCAAGACCATTGCGGCATTTGAGATCGTTAAATTAAATTGAATAATGTTAATTTGCACAGTAATAAAAATATTTTTTAAGAATATGAGTTGGACTTGCGTTATAGACTTTATATAGATAGGTAATCAATGGCAAATGTTAAATGTCCAACTAAGTAATGTTTTTATATAAAACATAATATTAAGTCGTATTAAAAAAATAATAAAATTATTTTTGATTGTCTGTTATCAAGGCAAACATTAGTAAATAATTAACTTTTGCTTGATTTGTGATAAATGGTTTAGTTTTATTTAATGTATTATATTTTATAGCACAGGTGTATTCATCTGTCCCACTTGCGAGCTCAAATTGAACTTTGAGTCCCCAAGCAAAAGCTCTATTAGTTCTGGCCCCAAGAGTTTAGATTTTCGGGCATTTTACTTCTCGAACCAAATCTTCAGAAATGTAGCCTACAATTGTAACATTATACTTTTTCTTATTAATTATTTATATAATTTTTGTGAATAGTTTTCTTAAATAACGGGTTACTAACATTTTTAAATAAGCTACAGTATTTTAAGTCAAATAATGATGATTTATACATTTTTTTAAATAGTCGAATTGGGTCCTAAATTGTATAGAATATTATTAAGATAAAGTACTATCGATAAACGTTGACAAACCAAAAAAATAAAATCATAAACCCCTAGAAGAGGTGGAAACTTTTTATTTATTTCTCTTTTATTTACTTTTGGTATCCAGCTAATTTATATTGTATTCGAATTAGGTATGTTACATATAATAACAAAATAACATAAATCAGATTTCAATAAAATATGTTGTAATTACCAATTAGTAGTTAAACATTAATGGTTCCACTTGTTCCGTGAACTACAGACTACTGGCCAGAGATCATCACAACATATGATTAAAAACAAATAAAAAACACGTTATACCTGAATAGTGTATGTTTAGAGCCTAAAGAGAATACGACTTATGGTTATTTATTTAATAACTAATGTGTACATTTTGTCTAGCGACATATCATAATATAATTTACCATCATTAGTTGTTTATCAGGTTATTTAATGTGAAAAGCTGAACAAATTGATCAAAGTCGAAACTTTAAACATAACAATATTTTTAGTATTAAAAATAAAAACAGATAATTTAATTTAATGTGTAGCACACTGTATTACCTTGACATTGAATATAATTATTGTTTTTTAGTCTTCTTTAGCATTTTTTTCGATTGTTGCAATAATTAATAACAACTTGTTTGCCAAAGTCTTATTAAAATCTTAAAAATCCTTTTTGTAAAGTATGTTATGATTTTATTTATACTCTATTCCACGAGATACCATGATAATTACGCCAATGATGTTGAATGTGAAGGCAATGCTGCTGGTAACAGCGGATTCCCAAAAAAAAGGCATGTGGGCCAGTTACTATGGTGTGGTTGAGGATCCTCTTGGTGCAAGAATAAACAATAGATTCAAAATATAATTTGGCTAGGTGACGAAAGATGGGGATAAGATGGATAGATAGGTCTATAGTTAGAAACAAGAGAAGGATATGTATTCTATATAAAACAAAGGAATTTTACATACAAAGGCGTATTTTTTTAGTTAGCAGAACTGCTAAATCTAAAGGAGAATCTACACTCTGTTGTTGAGATCTACAGAAAAAAAATTAGAGGATTGATGGCTTAATTCTTTGGCAAATTTTCAGAAAGAGGAAAGGTTGAAAGAGTATGCGCCCAGTAACATTAATTAAGGCTTTGTAGCCAGACTTTGCTAAACTCTTAAATTGAACTCTGAGTTAAGATAAAACATGATAGTTTTACGATAGTCGAAGGGTTTAAAAGCAATGTGTGCACGTTTTCTGGATAATCAAGTTTTAAAGAGGAGAGGAAACCCAGCGGGGAAATTTAAGTGGCTTAAACATATTTTTAGGGATAAACATATTGATAGAGTGAAGAAGGGCATCATAAAATACAGAAGCAGTGTCAGTAACAGAATCTTGAGAGAAAGCTCCCAATTGAATAAATTAAAGGATTAGGATATGGCAACGAAATCACCTACTTTAAAGTAGGTAGTTCTACTTTAAAATCTAAATAAACGTTAGTTTTGACTATGTCATGATCAGCTTGAAGAGGTAACTTAATATGATCAGGATAAGGTGATAGGAGTGTAGGCTGACCACAAGAGAGGCATCTATCCACATGGGTAGTTTGTTAGAATCAGAAAAAACAAGGTCAAAAATACTATCATGATCTTTGAAAATGAAATGAAGTTAAAATAAATTAAGACAGGAGAAATAGACAGCAATAGAGAACGAGAGAGGAGTTAAGAAACTAAAGGTAGTGAGCCCCAACTCTTCACACTACCAAATTACACGAGGCAAGATCTCCACACAAAATAACGTATTGTGTTTGTAAGTGGACAAAATTATCTCTATGATAATTTTGAAGCCTGGTACTTACATTCTGGTAAAATATTTCTAAGTTAAAAGTATTAATAAAATAGCTACTATTTTGTTGATAGAGGATATTGACTTAGAGCAAACCGTACAATCAGAATTGTTAATTAAGCTAGTCCGAGAGCAGTCTGCCGTGTCTTACTAACTAGTTGTCTCAGTTTTTACTTATCAAAACGAATGCCCAATTTTGATAAAAAATAAATATTTATAAATTAGGTATGTTTTATAGGTCACACTTATATTTCAACAAATTGTGTGATTTTATATTTTATGTTTTAATTGGTATATTTTACACTTATCTTGGTAAGTAAATGTATTTACAGTATTATTTTAAATAGATTTATTAGTACTTAAAATATTATTACACGTGAATACAATCTGTTTTTTCTCGAAATCCAAAACGGATCATTAATAACATTTTTTAAATTAAATAGTAATCTAATTTATCTATTTAAGCTATTAATTAAGGGGCAAAAGGATAGGCAATATTTGTCATAAATTGATCTAGTAGCCATTTTAAGCATGCCTACCAATTTTAAGGTGAAAAATATTAAGTATTTTTAGGTTTATACAAGTTTGGTAAAAAATCACTTTCGTAGAAGTTCTGAATTTTTTTTCTGCGAAGCTTACTATTTTCTGTGTGGGACTCAAGGCCAATTTTTGATTTAACGATTAGAAAATTAGAAAGATTTCTAAAAAAAAAAAAACCAATAAAAAAAGTAAGAATATAATAAACGCTTATAGTAAATTTAAAAAACAAAAATACATAATCGGCCTTTTAGACCCCATAGAGAAGATATTGAATACAACAAAAAATAATTCCGTAGCCCACCCGGAGGCTATACAATGGCTATCCACTGTTTATAAGAAATAATTCGTGTTTAGATCTTCCACTGTAGAATTTGTTTCCTACTGGCAACTTTTCAATCTCCTCCGAGCCACTGATTGGGCTAGGTCCATGTTTTACTAGTGCACTGTGCAGCTATCTAATAACACAACATAATATTATTTTTTTATAAATCATAGTAACCAATACGGTTACACACGGTTAGATTATAACAATAATCGATGACATTTTGATTTCATGATGGCTTATAGATAAAAGGAACGTGGAACGTAATCGACTACTATGCCAGTTCGGAAGAAGCGCAGATCTACAGATGCATGAGATCCACGTTTAACTTGTCACCGGACGTTCCGGAAATATCCATGGACTTTACGTACAGCTATGTGGATGACCCGGACAACGAGCAGCTGTCCGGTAACATCACTTGGAACATACCGGACATGAGTCAACCCGGTCACTGGATACACATGGAGACCCCGTGTAAGACCTCGCCAACGTTTCATTTGATAACACACTTACACTGAATACCTATAAAATAAAATATGTTTCCACCGCTATTACGTAGAATTAAATTAAGAAAACAAAAAATAAGAGCGTGAAGATCAATACGCGGAATCGCATATTAGGAAGAGCGCGTTCGTCTATCGCCAATAAAAATAAACATAGTAGAATTCAATTCATTAAAAAAAATGTTAAATGCCAAGTGAGGAAAATGGTTAAAATATTGCATCACGTCAACTGGACCCTACTTGACACACTTTTTACAATATTTGTGTTTTTCGTGCCCGGAATTTTAAAGTGAAATTATCAAATTCATTGACATTACTTTATCGTCATGTAAGCTATTTAATTGGCATTTAAGCATTGTGTTAAAATATACGCTCTAATTTTATCTAAAACAAACAATTTTATTTTCAATATGTGACACTATTGCGAACGGGTTAGCCGCTTAATACCTAATAGTTGTAACATTTAATAAGGCTTTATTTGGGCCTATAGTAATAAAAATACTAATTAAATAACACGACTAATTAAATTTCATAAGCAACATTGAAATTGGAGACTAAACCAGTTAAACCTTCGTACGTTTCCTTCACTTCTTTTTTCCGCCAAAAAAAAATGTCTATAATTAGTCGATAAATGCATTGCGAAATGAGGTAATATTCAGCGAATAACGGATTTGAATCAGGGGCGACATTTCGGTTTTTCTTAGGGTGGGGCAAAATTTTTATCGGCCCAATGTCATTTACAAATATAAATATTTTTTCCAAACCACTTAGAAACAAAATAGTAATAACACAAATATTATAAACCTTCATACCTATTATACTTGGTAGTCAGTTCAGACGATTCATTATTAGTAAAGGCAGGTAGTTGCATAAAAAACAGATAATTTACGGCCTTACGTACCGAAAATTTGACCAGCCCGTAAAAATCAAGGGTTGGCCAAATGCCCCTGCCTGCCCCCCTCCCAAAATGATGCCACTGATTTGAATGAAACTTATAGTAATTAATTTTGAAACAAAATAAACGGACCGAGATAAGATTAGAGCTGTTTCCCACTGTAAACCATAACGCATAATATTTTAAATATTGAACAATGTCTTTAAGTGCACTCGTCTGACTCGCGTCGACCTTAGGACCCACGTTGTTACACATATTGTGTTTTTTTCCACTTTTTTACTATTACTATTGTTACTCTAACCATTGTTGTTGTTGTTGTTGTTGTTTGTCGAGCACAGACGAAGGCGTTTACAACACGTACGTGCTGGACTGTAAGGACACGTGGGCGGTGTTGCTCCATTGCGCGGAAAAGCCGTCCAGTCCGCGGTACCTGTCCACCATACTGCTGTCCAGGGACAAGGCGGTGCCGGTGAACGTGCGCAGTTACGTGCGAGGGAAATTGCCCAAGTACGGCGTGCAGCTCGAGTACACGTTTCCCATGGTCCAGGACGATTGCAGCCCGGCCGTGAATCCGCTGTACTACGGGACGCCCAATAATAAAACGTCGGCCGCAAAGAAGGTCAAGAACCCGATGTCGCACGTGCACAACGCCGGCGAAACGGATACGCGCATTTAAATGATTTGGCCGCCCGGCCCTATGCCGAACGTCACTAATGTCACCGACTAGAGTGCACCTGTATAGTGTATATTATTATTATATATGTATGTGTTGACCGAGAGCCTGTATTGTTGCCTGTACACCCATTCGACCTAAACGCACACACTTTTTGGATTGGGCCTGTCGAAAAGAAATTTATCCGGCGCAGAGTATTTCGTTATAATTCGAACACACAAATTCACATCGACGCGTTTTTGGTGAAAGTAGTTTTTTTAATTTTTTAAACCAGTGATAAAACAGCAAAAGTCGATATGCTACGTTTTTGAAATAATAGGTATTTTAAATTGTGGACAAACGACGAATGATTTGATTAAATACCCATACATTAATACACAAACGATAATTCAATAACGACACGTCCATTGTATATGTAATCATATTTTGTACGCGATTATAACAAATTATGCATAGTGTTTTTATTAAATAACTTGAAATAGTTTGGGTTGTGTGAGCGTCATAAACGGCATAAAAAAAACAATAATGTTGTTGTTTGCACCAATGATCGAAATTACCTTTTATATTTTTACATGCTGTATAATGTTCTTCATATTCTTGAATTCTCAAATATTCAAGGGATCTGGGATGCCCATCAACAAACGTTCCCCGAAGCCTCTCATTCCCAAACAGATGCAATACTGTTATTTCAAGAGAGCGCAACATCCTATTTATTTCAACAATCGGTGTAGACAATTTTTTGCAAAAAAAAAAACATTTTAAAGCTTAATTTATAAACGTTTATGGCTCAGTGGCATCTGAATATAATACGAAGGTAAATATATACATATGGAAAAATACTTAAATACGAATCCATGAGTATGAACATACTCAGGTGTGTTCATAAAAATGGGTAATATGTAGTTGTATACTTTCAACATGATGACAATAACAACGGGTTGATATTAATAACTGTAAAACAGATTTAGGTAAAATGTACTTTGTTTTGCACTACCTATAAAAAAATTGTCTAACCATCGTGAGTTATACTCAATAGCACTTAACTAAAGTGTCAAGTATTAATAAGGAGCGCAATGTTCTGTGGTTTGAGTTCGAGTTATAAGTACCTAGGTATTACGAGCATTGCAGTAATTTTAATTACACTTATTTGTGATAATATGCTTAATTCAGGAAAAAATAAAACTCATTTATTTATCTCAAAACAGGTACTTGTTAAGTTATAAAGCTAAACGATTATACTAAACTTTAATTTTATTATTCCATGTTACGTTTGTGATGAATAAAACTTAGTCACTCAAGTTCTCTTCGTATACTTTCAATATCCACATAGTTTTTAAACGTAAATCCAGCGCTTATACTAATATATCACCAGGGTGTTAGTAGCCTTGATTTGTATATGTAAAAAAACATATACAAATCAAAATTTTTTTAAAAAAATCGAGAAATTATGTCCTAAACACTGTGATCTGTCAAAGTGTACTAGGAAATTCGGATAGATAATATTTTCGTGTCCAAATATTATATTATAGTATTTAATCTGACGATTTCTTCGTTAAAAACCTAACATACACATGTATACATGATGTATTTAGAGACGGTAAAACTGTAACACGCGGATATGGGTGTGTGTGATCTTGTTAGTCGGTTTTGACACGATGCCGAGGTTTGTGAATATACCGTACTTACAGCTGCTGCTGCTGCTGTTAATCAATAGAGTACTAATAACCAGACGGCCGCAAACCGCACCATCGTGTGTGGTCTCGATTATGATGTTATGTTATTGTGAATGATATCAATGGATCATTAACAAAATCGTATAAATGTATAGGTGTATATATTTATCTTGCCGGAACATTTTAACAATATTTTTATTAAACCGCGCATTTTAATAAATAACAAAAGGGTTTGGTCGAGCCTCGAGAACGGGCTTCGTGCCGCTTCCTAGTCTCAAGAAAGTTCTAAGAGCAGTTGCAATTCCTTGCCCGAAGTTTTGTCGTGTAAGCCATATGTGTGAGTGTGTGTGTGTATGTGTGAGGGCATACACAGAAGAAGATGAAGAGACGACGTTAAAAGTGGGTTACCGGGCCGACCAACTCGGTGGAATGCAGACTGACCACCCCTCCCGCCCAAGGTGCTTTCCCTCGCACCCGTGACCATATAACATGTATACACGCGGTTCGGACGGTTCCCCTTCCCCGGAGGCTGAACTCACGGGGAAGGGGGGAGGGGCACGCGTGGGAAACATCGGTTGGCAGGCCGTTGCCAAAATCGCGCTTTAACGCTGTATATGTGTATAATATTTTTAATGTTATACTTAAACGTCTTGTCCCTTTCATTTTTCATCTCCGCCGCCGCCCGGCCCTGACCGGAACTGCAGCAATACATTAACCGAGAGTCGGTTACCGAACGAGAGAAAGAACGTGTGCCGTCGCCGCCACCGATCTAACGCGAGACCGACACACATCGGGTTATGCTCAACCCGGCCTACTACTACAGTGGAAATATTGACAATACATTTGTATTATAAGAATTGCTGCTGTTGTTGTTATATTATATTTTAAAAACCATCTGGGAACGTGAGCAAAACCAACTAATCTAACCAGTGGAGTTTTTAGAAAATAAAAATATAAATAGCTAGAGAATCTACCCCCAAAGCTTTTACTAAAAAAACCTATATTACCGACTTACCAAACCCTACTACAGATATATTAATAATCGATACCGATGAAAATCATTTTTATATTTAATTTTAATTTATAATTTAATAAAAAAACTGCAATAGCTGGTTTGAATTCTTACATTTTAATCTTTATAAAAATAATTAATTATTTCATCAAAAGTTGTCCAGTTTTTGTATAATTTAAATTAGAAATATTTATTTTATGTAAAAAAGTTCAAAATAAAACATTTTTTTTTTTAGAATGAACAAAAATAGTGAATACAATTTAAAATATTATTTTTAAGGAAATTTTAGGAGGTAACTGTTTAAGGCCAAACAGCGATTTAAGTTAATATTCTATTAATAAAAAACAATGATGTAAAAATAGTAACGATTGATTAATAACTGGTTTTGAGTTAACACATCTTGACTTGATTAAAGAGACTCGCTGTGGCTTGTACAGAGCGCATTGAACTTTTGTGATTTTGAATAATATTACAAACCGCTTTTTATTGTACTTAGGTAGGTATGTAATCAAAAGTCCTGCAGGGCGTATTGAACTTTTATTTTCAAATAAAAAAAAATTATCGCCAAAATAGGACTTCCATAAGACCATTTTCATCACCAAAAGGACAATAATTTATCGGGAAAGATACAATAAAAATTATCATACATAAAGCTTATTGCAAGTAAATCTAAAAGTTATTTTACATGATTTTTATTATTTGATCACATTATTCTACTAGTTTTTTTCATAAGTAAATCTAATATATATATATATATATATATATATATATATATATATAAATTTAGATATGCGTGTATAATATATTGAACTGCGCAACAAAGATACTGGCGGATGGCGCCTTAATAATGTAAATGTGAATTACAATTCAGCAGCCTTTAAGAAAAATAAAAGTCCCGAAATTCAATTTTATGTACATTTCGATTGTCCATAAAGATGTTTTATGTATATTGTGTGAGTATAATGTATATTATGTACATATTGTTTCTGATATGTATAACAAATATAATATTATGCAAAGAATAGAAGAGTAAGTGAAATCTTTTTTTTCAAATCTAAAACGATCAATCAAAAGGTAATAATAATACAACACTGAACACAATGCTAAGCAATAACGTAGATGAATACAGTATTTATAGCTAGGGTATTGAATGCAAAGTAAAATGTATTTACATAATATAGGCACTCAATAGGTATTGACTTTCATAAAATTAAAGTACAGTGACTGCGATTGTGTGTAATCAAACAAAAGTGAAAAATTACAGCTAAGAATAATTTGAATACATTAATAGTATATAATATATTATATTTTTATGGTATTTTATTAATTGCAATAAATAATACGTATGTTTCAACAAGTATTTATTTATTTAATCACAAAACTAGTATGTTATAAAATATATAATATTTTTAATAGTATTATAAGATAATATTTTTAGTATAAGAATATATTGTTGACGGATTTATGAATCCCAAATTAAATTAAATTTAAAGAATTATGCAAAATGTATGTTAATAATACATATTAAAATTAATCGCAACTTTACTGAAACTGAGATGATTTTATTTTTTCCTAGACTCGATTATTTGCTTACGCTTTATATCTCATAGCAGCTTAATCATAGGTAATTTAGATGCATTTGCATATCTTTCTAAATGAATACTAAATATGTGTTAAATCCAATGGGAGAGGCAAAAAATCATACAAAAACGCTGTAATAGTAATTGGAACAACTTAAAAAATTTGTCGTACCTTTATTCATAATATTGCGTGAATTGCATAAGTACATAAAAGTATTGTAAATTGTCTCTCTTGGGTTATAGCTTATAAAAAAGTGTTTTAATTCATTAAGTTTATATAAAAAAAAATGTTTATATATAAATATAAGTTTATTAGACATTAGTATATAATTATATAAATACAAGATTTCGGGCGCTTAATTGTCTTAGCCTCCATGTCAATGACCTACTCGACGAGTACTACAGTACATATCGAAGGTACATAGAAAGTGGAGTGAAGATGAAAGCCGAAACTACAATAATAAAAATTATTACTATCGATTACATGAATATCACAAGCGAAATTTACTACTGACCTTTTCTATAGAAATAAATTTCCGGCCAAAGTAACTTCGAGTTTTTTTTAATTTATGCTCTGTATTTCCTGTCAGGATTTACATGTGCTACTTAATTTAACGAAATACAGCTTCAATATTATGTTGATAATTTAAAACTCATTGACCTCAGGTAGTCAATAAGTTTTAAATTAGGTTAGTTTTAGTTACCTAACCTAACCTTACCAAAACTAAATGAATTATAATTACATATCATATTTACATATGTCTAAATGAAATTATGTACAACATATAACTGTTAAACAATAAACTTATATTGTATATTATGTTTTACAACTGCTTTTCATAAATATTACTATTTAGATCAGAACAACTTACTGTAACGACAATATCTGTCCTACATTGGTCTTTGATTTATTTCTCTTATATATCTCATAATTGTACAAGATAGTTTTTATTGTACTCAATATATTATAATTATTAATTCTTATCATACTGTTTGTAATCAATTAATTGAAACATGCATTTATATATAACAGTAACATACTCGTGGTATACATTTATAGTTAAGCATTTCCTAGTTAATTCTGAGTGGTTTATAGCAAGAGGGTTCCTACAATATCTAGTTTTATTTCTTCGTATGCAAAAGACTCGGGCTAGAATAACTTTCAGACAAGTAAACACCAATGGCGAACGATTTTATAATAATGTATTTTTGTTAATAATATCAACTACTTATGCTTCTATAAATTAAAAAATAATCAATTCTATTTAAGTTTATTGTTTAATTTATTGACGATTTTTGTACAGCTATTTTATAACCCTAAAAGATTCCCTTAAGGTTGAATTTGAAAGGCCTATTCAATAAGTACTTATTTAAATATAATTTGTATTGTTAAAAATTAATTAATTTTAATTCTGATTTAGTTATTATTTACTGTACTAGTTAGGTGTTGAGAATTTGTTACAAATCTCTTAAAAAAGTCAAGTACTCAACTACTGCACCTTCACCATCACAATCGTGATCAAATTTTACAATATATTATCAAAATTAACTTTTATTAAGGAAATCAAATGATCCAAAAAAATTATTCTATTAATTTTGACTATGAATATGAAATTTTAGAAGTTATATATAAATAATTATAATTTTAGGCTATTCAAACAATTTTAGTCCCTTTAACATTCAAACTTAGCCAAATTTTTTTAGTACATAGCTAAGGACCACCCAAAAGTATATATAGGTTCTATATGCTTAAATTAATTTTATAACGTTAACATTTATTACTTAAGATACCTAGTAATATGTCAGTCTGTATAATTGTTGAACTATTGTGTTTTTAAATCATAAGCAAATAACATTTTTAAAAAAACACTGAAAAGCGACATAAATAAATGTTATGAAATATAATACCATATAATACAATATAATATGTTATTAAATATAATACTATTTAATACATTTATTTCATGTATCCCTTGTTTCCATTTAAAATTATATTAAGTCGTTAATTTTCACCAGCATAACTGAACTATTAATGAATGTCTAAATTATACGTATTTTTTTACTAATTTAAGGAAAAGATTACAGATATACTTTTGAGGGAAGTCTAAATTTGAACTCCAGGATTTGTTTGTTTGTTATTCAGAATATGGACTGTGTTTAAGGAGACGAGATATTGAAATAAATTAAGGGTACGTGGATGGATGCAATTAGGAAGAGATGAAAGACATGGAAGAGATTAGCTGAAGATGGCCGGGGTAGTAAAATGTTTAAGCTAACTTTATATGTTTAAGCAATTTAACATACATTATTGTAACATATTTGTAAAAAAGTATTAAGTATAAACAGAGTGATAGCAATAGTCAAGCAATAGACGGAGAATGGATTGTTGTGTGCACTGTTTTTACTTTAAGCAACTATGCGTTTCATTACCGTTAATAGGTTTACAAATAATAATAAAAAATTGCATTTCTGGCGCACAAGTTGTGAAAAAGAAATTCAATTTACCTAACTAAGTAGGTAATTTTGTTTAAAAATTGTCGACACCAATTCGTCGCGGACAAGATGTGGTTCTTGTGATTTTTGTGTTTTCTCAACCTAAAAGCTTCTAGAATCCTACTTTACACAATCGCATATAATTAGTCGTTAATAGAATTTATTTTTTTACAAAATATTCACTACTTTCGCTTGAGCGTTCCACGTCTTAGAGTACCCCAAGCGCGTTATCGGCCCATATCTGTGTAAATGATTTTCGATACATGTGGAGTACAACATTTGTGTATAGAAACAGTGTAATCGATAGAATAAGAGAGTGAGAGAGAGAGAGAGAGAGAGAGAGAGAGAGAAAGAGTGAGAGAGAGAGCAGTGAAAGGAGGGGAATGCTCGCAAGCAGACTAATTGATATGCGGGCTTTGATGAAACCAGACCGTCCGACTTGTTCCTGTTGAGGTCTAGGTCATGACCAAGTGGCTGCCGAGAGCCCGGGGAAAGGAGAGGGGCACGGAAACACGTTGTCGCCGTTTCAATATCATCATCGGCCCCTGCAAAGCCACCGGAGTCTAAGAGATGGATGGATCTCATTGATCTTTTCTTGTTGCCGGCCACGAGTTCTCAATCACTAATCGTCTTGAAACCGTCGCGTCAACTAGTTCGGCCAAGTTCGTTGTAAAGATTTTGTGCATTTGTTTTTTTTTTGTTTTTTCAAAGCTCCTGCATCAGTCCAAATTGTTTTCAGCTTGTTATATCCTTAACATTAAACGAGTGCGGCTTTATTGTCTACTAAAAAACGGTGTACGGCTCTCAGCGCGTCAAGCTTGTAATCTCTTGAAGGTAAGATATTTTGTAACCGTTTAGCTGCATTACTCGGGTCTAGTTCAGCGCATTATCCGTTCGAAAATAACCGCGGATATCGATATTTATATATATTGCTAAGTATAGTGTAAGCACACTAATTCTAAAAAGTTTCCAAGAGCGTTTTGTTTTGCTTAACGTCACATGGTTAGAGCGCACTTACCTTTGGTTGGTTTCTAAGTTTAACGATTTAAAACATAAGTGTTTGGTAAATTATTGTAAAGTAATTTCGTATTGAACTTATGCAACAATATCGCCGTCCGTTCGGACATGATTTCTGTTAGTACTAGTATTTGGTTTTTGGTCGACAGTTACCTAACATTGATGAACACACATATGTCAGCGTAACGGGATCCAAAATCAAGTATATATATATATGTACACAGTAATAGCAAAATTGATATGCCCTTACACCGCCAATTAATTTTCGGAGATAACAATTCGAGACCACGTGCAACCTGTATATTTCAACCATGGACCGGTTAGGTCATAATATCGTTTATTGACATTTGAATATTTTGGTGAAGCCAACTGGGCCCACGTTTCTTTTAGCCAAAACTCAATCAACGTCAGTTACCTTCATCTTATTATCATGTGTATGACCCCCGACTGTACCGTTTGCAGTTACAACGAGCCACTAAAAAACATTTGAATGGATTTCGTCGGAACGAATGATTGTTGTATTTGTTTAAGTGTACGATAAAAAAAAATGTATAAAACTGGTTTGCGATACCATTTTTAACGATACTAATATATTATTATTTTGATTATTATGATAAGCACGTTTGTTAATGATCGTTTGAACCGACCGAAAAGCGTTAACGAACCGTCACAAGTGATAATGATCCAGCCGAGTTAATAGAAGCGACAAATAGTAAAAAATTGGTACATGTGTATTAATCTTAAATGTGAAAATTTAACAAAATTATAATATCTACACTCGTGTGCATTAGTAGAAGACGTTTATGATGGTATTTTTTTTTATTGCTCAACGCTGATGTTTGTGTGCATACGCCGCCAGTAACGGGTTGAAATTACAACTACAGACATATTATGTTTACTTGACATGGTCGTCGATTATGGCGTAGGTATAATATAGTATGTATGCATCATACACATTTATATAGGTATATTAGTAGTTTGTGCGAAAATCCAGCATTATATTGTGATAAGTCTGTGTTCGACAAATTTGAAAAGACCAAACGAGGCAACAGTGTATGCCATAGGGCGAATTGACGGTATTTATTGGCGATTAACAATTTCGGATGAAAAGATAATACATTATTGTGAAAGTACCTATACACATGTGTTAAGGCGTTTTAAACTGAATTTTTTCCATGGTTCGGTTTCCAAAAAAAAACCGGTTTAGATATTTTTCTGTTAATTTTTTTCGTGCTACACACACACATATATATTTATCTTTTTTTTTTACTATCAAACTCTCTAAGGGTGTAATGTGTATAACTGAGTAGTTACTCATGGTGTGTATCGTGGTAAATTATAATGATTATTATGGTGCTTTTTGTCTAATGACGGTGTAAACGATTGCTTGGGATATAGCGCACGAGTGAAGGCGTTTAAGACCTCAACGACACGCGTTAAGAAAAAACTAATCGACACCGTCCGTTATACTGTCGTGATGATAATTAGTATAGGTATAATAATCCAATTTAACCTTACAATACGGATATTACTCGACGGTTAAAAAGACTTTTTCGAGGACTTTGTCGACTTTTGTGGACGTCCGTTATTCTTCGGTCAAAAGTGAAAACGCACGCGGCGGCACGTTGAACTTTGAGGCTGCGACAATGAGACCAACGAGGAAAAAGAAAGCTGTTTAAAAACAAATATCGACGGTATTAATAATAATTCTAATCTCAACGGCATTACACATGCACAGGCACGTAAACCGGAGAGAAACAGACGCACAGAGAAAATGAGTGCGTGTGTACCTATGTGTATGCAGCGAAAATATAGTATAAATATTCTGTTGTATTGTACGGGACGGACAATAGGCGAGACGGTCTCGTTTCATAAGATTAAGTCGACGGCGCACTAGGTGTCGCTATTGTGTAAATATTGTATTTGCTGAGAAACCCAACAAAAACCGTACCTACTCGTGACACTCATATGATTCCGGTTGTCTCTGGGGAAACTTTATGCTGCGTTTAATCATTATTACACTCAAATCGGTCCGCGGTCGGTTTGAATGGACCATCGACGATTGGACTGTCATTGATCAGTACACGTTTGAACAGAATACTATGTACTTACACAACCGCGTTGGGTAATGAGTTATCATCGGTCGGATATTAGCTGTTTTCAATTATTATTATATCGTTTGATTTTGATTTTTTCAACGTCAAAGCGATAATCCGCGTTTGCAGATAATTACTATCGGCCGCCGAATCAAACTTTCAGATGTGTGTTTTTTGTAGGTCACGGCGGCGGCGGCGTCATGACCGACCACTACGGCGGTATATAATATTATTATCTTCCTCTCTACTTATATTGCCGCGGCGATGCCGGCAAGTGCAGTAAAAATCGATCGAAGAAGAAATTTGGCCTAGAAAATCCGGAGGTGGTCGAATAATCCGATAATTCGCCCGGACCACCGCCGGGCTTATAATAATATATTATAATAATCGTCCGATGGTGATTATAACGTACAAGCCGCATTTAAGCCACCCGTGTCTACTAATATATATTTATATATATATATTTATTTATTTATTATAACAAAAACCGATCGGCGGAAATGGCGATCAATGATCAATGGATCGATCACGGTTGCTCGATCAAGTCGAGGCGTTTGAACATAATTTTACAATTTACCGCACACATAAAAAACGTCCCACACACATACCCAAATACAAGGCCCGCGCACACGAGGGGAGGTTTGAGGGGGGGGGGGGTTAACCCCTCCGATAGTTTCAATCAATATTGCAATGTGAGCTATACTAATAAGTAATATTAATTATAAAAAAATGATCAACGTTATTTGAAATATTAATAAAACCATAAACGTGGTAGAGATTTCGAGATCATAATATATTATACAAGAAACATAATATTTAGTAAACTCCCCTCCCCCTCTGGTAAAATCCTGCTCGCGGGCCTCCCCTATAGACAACTGCAAAAACTGTTGTACGTTTTTTTTCTTTTCATATTAACGCTATAGTAGAGTAAGTGTAGTTAATAGCAGTAGTTGTCATATAGCGCAAGTGCAACACAGTAACCTAGTACTCCCGGACGGGTAAGACGGAGTGCCGGAGAGAGAGAAGAAAAAGCTGATACTTCGACTCATTTCTATTTTTTTTTCCTTGTACATTTTTCACAAGACGAACGTCGCTGCTGACCCACTCAGCATCGGTCAAAACCGGATTTCTTTTTAAGTTCCTTGGCCGGCGGCTCCACGGACCGGCAGCGCTATGCGGTAGTAAAAAAAAAATGGATAAAAAATCATTATTATCGAATTACGCGGCGGCCGATCGTTTCGAATGGTCCAAATCAGCCCGAAAAGCTATACATCACACACAGCTTGTACACACACACACACGCACACACACAATATTGTATAGTGTGAAAGTTTAACGACAGCGTACTTACGGGACCATTGTACACAGCTGCAGTATAATAATAATAAATAAAGTCGTTAAAAAAAAAATCTAACGCGCCGCCGCCTTGGGCCATGACGTGCTTTACCGGCAAAGACCGCGAACCGGCATTGTTGCTTTATAACGATCCTAATAAAAAATATATATATATGTATCGCTTAAAAAAGGCCAATAATTTACACAAGTCTGACAGTGTGTCACTAGTATCATAGTGAGTATGTGTTTGTTTATTCCTTAGGGTAGACAGGATATAAAAAAAAAAATATATATATATTATATACCTACTGCAGAACAAGTGGAACGCGGAGACGAATCGACGCGAAAACCGGAATCATCCGTCCGACCATTTCCTATTACTTATATCAATATAAGTATTATTATATACATACATGTGATATATCTATCTGCGGAAGACGAACGGCGCATACAACTATGCAGTCGAGATGGTTTATAATATGTTATATTTCTTTTTTATTCCGGAGCGGTCAAACGACCCACTAGACGGTCCACTTACTAAAATAATATACAATAAACAATATAATAATATACTTGCTCTCAAGTGTTAAGCTATAGTCACAACTGTAATGATCATGTAAACGACTCTTAAACGGCCGTACGTCCGGCAGTGGACCTATAAAAAATAATATCTATATCTTAACCAGTTTCGTTCACTTTCTACGATGTGAGGTGTTTTTCGACAGTAAATTCTAAATGTTTTCTTAACCTCGGAACCAAACAGACCCGTATGTACAAAAACCCATAAAACTGGACAAGTCATATTAATCTAAAATAAACACAATATTACTCTCTTCCCCGAAGGTCGAAGGTGGCTAAAAAGTTTACCTCCACGAGTACCATCCGAGTTTACTCGGCCATTCAATAATTTTGGTCCAAAACAAACATAATATATGTACATAACCGAGAATGAAACGACACGGTGATCATTTTCTTCGATTGATATCGATCATGATCCGGTACACTTAGGTCCAGTTCAATGTTCGGTAACACAACCATAAACTGCTTTGTCTCTATCCAATCTATCTTTGTTTTCGAAGATGTTTGGCTCTAAACTAATAATAACTTGTGTATAATACTGATTAAAAATTAATGAAAATGTATTTGTATTTTTACAGACTACCGAAAGACAACACAATGATACTGAGACTATTGCTTGTATCGTGTGCAGTGCTGGCGTGCAACGTAAGTAACAAAAATACAACTATATCATTACATTAAGGGTTCAAGCGTTCAAGTCTCCGCCGTTACACTATATACAGGATAATTTTATTATAGTACAGCACAAGCTGCGCGCCGTTGATCTAGTTAACAACGGCTAACGCGATACCGTATATGACATGTCCTACTGCAAGTCTCACTGACTTGCAGCTCACGCACCATAATAATGCATACCTATGGTCACTGGGTTTGTGGGCTTGTTATGGTTAAGTTGTCACCGTCGGGTCTATACCGTTATCGCGCCGTATCGCTTACACGGTTCGACGATGAACGTTTCATATCATTTCTATTATATGGTGTTTTCCGAAAATCCGATATTTCCTTCAAATTCACCGATACTGTTTTCTTTGTGGTATTTTACGTTTTGTGTTTTTTGCGAGGAAAAGGTCAAAGTATACATATATTATAGACATGCATTTCCGAGGACTTCATAACGTTGCAGAGTTTATCGACCATCCAGTTCAAGACGGCAATAACTCTATTTATAGATTTTATTGATAATTTAATACAGCAATAAGTAGGCTTGCTTCACTTTTGAATTGGACATGAAATAAAGAGCTCTCTAGTAATCAGTAATGTTTTTATTCCGTTCTTGATTGAAATTGTTTTAAAAAAAAAGAAAATTATAATGTAAATAAGTAATAACTGGATAGCCGGTATTATGATTCGTAGATCGTTAAATAAAAGACCCTATCCGTTGTCGGCTGATATGTTAACGAACCTACAAGTAATTTACATACGCCCTACCGGCTTATCAGTGTCTAGTTTATAGTTATCGTTATCTAGTCTATTCGGTTTATGTAATCTAAAAATAAAATCTCATTAATTATATAAAAAAAACGTTACTTGTGAGATTAAAAACACATTTGGAAGCTTACAAATAAAACATAATAGTTGCATAATTAAATGTAATAAAAAAAAACATTTTGAATATTTTAGATGGCCGAAGAAGTTGACGTGGTCGAAGCGGTTTCGGGCACACAACAAGCCATCGATGAACTCTTACAAGCCGACCAACAACACCAACCGGCAGCGGCTTCGGCTCAAAACCGGGAAGACGTGGAGACGCATAATCCGGACCAATTGGCTCTGGAAACGGGCGACATCGGCGACCAGGACACTTCCGGATCTATTGCCAAGCACAACTTCCTGAAGCCGCAAGCGGCTCCGTCCCGCGGCCACCCGTCATTAAGTCGCGGTCCGTCGCAGCTGCCGCCGCAGCCGCCGCCACCGTCCGGCAAGTACCACCACAGCGTATCGTACCACGGTCCGCAGCCACCTCCCCCGCCTCAGGTTCAACACGCGCCTCAGCCGCAACAACAGCAACAGCCACAGTCCGAAGCCATGGACAAGGTGTACTCGGCCGGTCCCGTTGGCAACGCGCTAGGCGATCCGTGGCCGACAAGCGCGTCCGCCGACATGCCCAAGATCGTGTCGCTGGACGTCAAGTGTGAGAAGAACTCGATGAAAGTGTTCCTGGGCTTCGACAAACCGTTCTTCGGCATCGTGTTCAGCAAGGGTCATTACAGCAACGGCAATTGCGTGCACCTACCCGCCGGCCTGGGCCGCACTTCTGTCAACTTCGAGATCAGTATACACGCGTGTGGCACAACCGGCAACACCGAAAACGGTTTGTACGGCTACGGCGCCGACTCTGGGTCTGGCACGTACTTCGAGAACATCGTCGTCGTCCAGTACGATCCACAAGTCCAAGAAGTCTGGGATCAAGCGCGAAAGCTCCGGTGCACGTGGCACGACCAATACGAAAAGTCGGTAACCTTTAGACCGTTCCCGGTGGACATGTTGGACGTGGTTCGCGCCGATTTCGCCGGAGACAACGTCGGCTGTTGGATGCAAATACAAGTAATTTCATTAGCATAATCAATTGTTTACACTTCAATTAAGCAGTAGGTGTTATTAATAAAAATAATTAATATTTCACTGAGGAAGGGCGTTGCTTGTAAGCAAAATATATCAAGCTAGCTGCTAATATTAATTATATTCCAATTTATTCCACTGCTACGTTAGGAATATTAATTTTTTCACAAGTTTTTACAAAATTTTTGCTCGATATTACAGGTGGGTAAAGGACCTTGGGCATCCGAAGTTTCTGGGCTAGTCAAGATAGGTCAGACAATGACCATGGTGTTAGCGATCAAGGACGACGACTCGAAATTCGACATGCTCGTCCGCAACTGTATGGCTCACGATGGCAAGAGGGCACCCATCCAATTGGTCGACCAGAAGGGATGCGTGACCCGCGGAAAACTCATGTCCCGGTTCACCAAGATCAAGAATTTCGGCGCCAGCGCTTCTGTGCTGTCGTACGCACACTTCCAGGCTTTCAAATTCCCCGACTCGATGGAAGTGCACTTCCAGTGTACCATTCAGATCTGCCGGTACCAGTGCCCGGACCAGTGTTCCGACTCAAACGCCATACTAAACGCTCAGCACGGCAACCTGTTGTCCGCGCATCATCCGGCCGTGCCTGAATACGGACCGCCTTCGCCTCCGTTGGACGTGTACGCCCGCGTCGGTTCCGCGGCCCACCCGCGCGACGAACGCAGATTCAGACAACGACACCGGAGGGCGGTCACCGATGAAGAAGAGGTCGGCGTCAACCGCATCATCAAAGTGGTGTCCACCGGCGACTTGACGTTCGCCCTGGAAGACTCCAACAACTCTACCACAATGGTGTTCCCCACGCGGACTGTCGACCCGTCTTCCATGATATGCATGACCACGGTGGGCTTCTCGGCCACGCTGGTCGTGCTGCTCGGCATTCTGTTGGTGTCCTGTCTGGTGTCCGCCTACCTGTGCCTGCGCATCAGGTCACTGCCGCAGAGACGGAAAAACGCTCAGGTCGCCCGCACCAATCCCACTCTGCAGGCCGTCCATAAAACGAAGGCCATGCACCAGGTGTTCACGTGAGTGCCGATCAACACCGTTTACCGGTAAACACCGACAGTTATTATATAAAAAGAGGTACACGCGCCCGCATTAAACCAAAGCCTTATTATGTCCCTACCAGAAAACGTCACATATGTGCGATGACGATTAAACGGTGTTATACACCGAGTTAAAATTAACCGTTTTTTTACAAAACACATAATAATAAAATCCGTACTTACCCGTTTAAACGAGAAACATTAGGCGTTTCTAATTCCAATTTATTTTTAATACTATTTTTATTATTCGATATTTAGCGCTTAAAAAAGCTATTCAACGAACCGGCACTCTTCTGTCGTTAACATAATTGTCCCTATATAATATTAATATAATCTCCATTTTTTTCATATATATTATATATATATATATATATCATCCTAACTCACCTCTCTCGTTTATTGCACCGTGGACATATTTGACGGCCACCATATAAAATCCATCCCGGCCTCTACAACGTCTCGTCTCGGTCTTTACGACTTTATCTATTATCATATTTTATTCGAATTTTATGTGCCAAAAAAAAAAACCGCGAGCCATTCACACGTTTACCCAATCTTAGAATAAATTATATTTGTTGTATTATTATGAATATTAACGAAAACGTTATGCAGTTAATTGAATGAAATTCGATCGGATTGCAAACAACATATTATTAGATATTATTTCAATATAGTCGTTGTAATACCCACCGAGCGCCAACGCTCAATTTATTTATTTATTGTCTTAAATTTAATTTAGGCTAACCTCCCCTGCTCTGCCCGGTTCTGTCCTGTCCTTATGTCTTGTGTTTTTTTGGACAAAGCATTTCTTTAAAGAAAACCCACGCCAATATAATTGCTCACTGTTTCGAACTCACGCTGTTCATTGGCCAACGACTAGCGTGACGTACATTGTACAGTTTTGTTGATTTATTATTTTTGTTTTATAGCCAACAAATTATAATAAGACATTATACTATAATATCTATATATATCGAGCGCTATAGTCAATGAACCGTATCATAATTATTATTTATTATATTATACATCGGAACAATTAATTTTTTTGTTTTTGAAAACGCCATACTTATATTTATTTTTTTAGTATTTAGATTATATAGTATTATTATTGCGCGAAGGAATGTCTAATTAGTAATTTTTTCTAAAAAGACATTTATTTTAACTTCAACAACTTTTGTGCGTTTGCCGTTTACATTACATAATATATCATTCAAATATAATATGAAATAATAATTATTATAATAAATTTAACCGAATTTAACAATCAACGCGCGTTTACGCTTAAACCAAAATATTACTATGATTTTACACCCACTTATGAGTTACCTTGTCACTTTTCTGTAACATTATTAATTATTACTACCTCGTTTGTAGTACCAATGAAATCGGCACATGCACATTAGTTGTTGACTTATTTATTTTCTTTATATTTATATAAATCTTATTTTAAGGTTTATCATTTTGGTTTGTACTATTTTTTTAAGTATATAAAATGTGATTTTTATTATCAAATAATATATATTTTTTTTTTGTTTTACCCGTAATATATTATTATTATTAATTAAATATTTTAATTCGAACTTTTATATTGTATTCAAAACGTTAATTTTTTTTTTAAATGTATAATAGTTTTAAGTATTTATTGTTAGCTATACGTGGTAATATTATTATTATTATTATTTATAATGCGTATCTGTGTGTTTTGTTCGTTTCGACAACAAAATATGATTTAGAACTGAATTAAATAAGGTTGTAAAAAAAAAAACAACAATCGTTTTTTTAATTGGTCATCCGTCGACGGTTTACACGGTACCATAACTACCGGGCACTCGGTAGTCCGAACAAAACAATGTGTCGTTATCGTTTTTAATGTCAATATACCCATGTCTTACCTCCTGCCTAAGTTAACATATAAACGGGCAAACGTTGTTCATCCGGTCCGTAGTAAATCACGGTTAGGTCCGCGGTTCCAATGCGGACGACGTCGATTCCAATAAAAAGTATATTATTATTATTATTATTATTATTATTATTATGTTGTGTATGTGTGTATGTGTATAATAATATTTACCTGGCAGCTATAACACACATGTATAAAATACCAACGGGTCGATCGGCCACCGGCTAAACCAGTCCCGGGAAGTAGGTGAATGGCATACTTTGGCGGATAAGTGAAACACTACAGCGCACTACTCACATGTGTCGGATGATCATGTTGATCACGATGATCACGTTGATGATGATGATGATAATTATAATAATAAACAATATTAGTACACGTACGAGATGTATTAAAATTATAATAGGAACCTGGAAGATACGCAAGTCGTTTAGGGGACAAGTATAATGTCTAACTGGCTAGGTTACCGCAGAAGGCCACGGTCCGGCTGGTCCACAGAAACGCTGAAATACAATTATGTTTCTCGGTTAATACTCGTGCACTTATTGTAATACTTATGGTTGTTATGAATAAATTAATGCGGATGAGCAGAGAACTCGATGAAAGTTCACTGTTTAAGTCACTTGAAAACTCCAAACGTTCGGTTCGACGACACAATATCTCCTCAAAGATTGCCATTTTACCCGTAAGATGTTTGGAATTATTGCAGATTATATTAATATAGTATACGTTAAAATGAGTTTAAAACGGTTTTCACTATTGGCCCCGCCGCAATGCCCGTTGTACGATCATCTTAATAACGTAGATAGGTTTCTATTGTATCGAAAGACACATCACACACACACAAGTCGTATAAACACATGTGAACGGACCGAATATCTTTGGAAAAAGCTATAAACCACGACCGGTGGTGAAACGATTTTCTTTTGAAAATATTCTACGGCAAACGCGAAAAACCACTTTCACTTACCGCCCGTGTAAGTAATTTATTTTTTCCTAAAAAGGTTGTTGGCCAATTTATTTATACACAGGAATAAATCCCGTTTCTTTTTATGCGATGACCGGCAATAATTATTATTTTCCGTCTACTGCAAACATAATCGTTGTTTTATTTATTATAAAGTCGTTCACCTTTGATGAAATTTACAACTAAAAATGTATTATAATTTATAATATATAAACCAATGATCGTATTCTGTATGCAAATGAATGAAATGACTTGTTTTGACGGCAATGCGTGTATTATTATTCGTAATAATAATATTATATATATATATATATATATATATATAATATATTCAATACCTAATTATTTGTCATCTGCGGCCAAAGCTTGTTAAAGTGGTTATTAAATTTAAAATACACATAATATCGCATTAACAAAACTAATAGTTCTACTTTGAACAGAATATTAATTTAAAAAAAAATAGTAAGTCTTAGATAACATCTCACAAGCGAGGGCGCATTTACATAGCAAGGCTGTGACTTGTGAGTTCAAGTTGGGTCACAAAATTAATTTAATTTGAATTTTTCAACTTAATTGATCGTTTTTGTTACATTAACCTGTGATTAAATAAAATTTGTTTGATGAGAAAAACATATATTTTTCAGCTTAAAACGAGATATAACATTTTTCGGAAGCTTCTTTTGTTTTATTTCACCGATTCGACCGTAATTCTAGGACTCGAGATCTGAAGGTACTAACTGAAGGTAGATCTAAAATTACAATTTTCAATCTGCATTATTGTTTTTCTTGTACCCAGAACTCGCTTTTATTTGCATTATTTGTTACATTATTGTTGTTATAAAAAACAGTACCCTGCTAATATTATGTCGCATGTAAACCCGTTCTGGAGATGTTCGGCAGCCAAAGATTTTAGCAATAACAGCAATATATTATTATTATAATTTGTCTAGTGCGCTTCTTTACGATTCGTCCGTTCATAGTTATTATTATATTTAGAAAGTTTTAATTTATAGTTTTTAAAAATTGCACGCTTCCCATCTTGGCCGCGTTACCCATCGATTAATACAGTAAATATAATATAATATCGATTCCCGTAGGAAATAATGTCTCAATAATAATACGAATACTTGCATATTATAATGATAAAACTCACATTTTTTATTTTTATTAAATCAGGTCAACGTTTCTCTAAAATATCTTGTACAGTGTAGAGCGCTTCTCCACGATAATAACAACAGTAATGATGATCTATATTTATCAAGAGTAAACAGAGAGTTATAACATCACCGGAGTCATATTAATATTATGTTTATGAAGCGATGGTAATAGACGACCGGGACCTATATATTCGAGGGCCTGCTGCCGGTGCTTGCCGTGAAAAGACATGGTTTGCATACACTCTGTGCAGCACTTAAACTATAATAATTCCAAACAGCAATCTGATCTGGATAGGATATCACGATCTCGGTAAACATGTTAAAAATGTGTTCTTTCGTGTTGTTGGCTAAACGTGAAACAGCTTATCAAAGTACTCACGCCTTGCCGAAAATCATCAGAGTCCGTGTGAAATGTCATTTTGTGTAAACAGAAGATTCAACTAAAATATTGAAAAAATACAAATGTCTATTTGAATGTACACATATTATGTAATTTTTGTACCTTGGGATAAGTAATTCTATTAAATGTTTGTAATATTACATTTTAAATACTGTACGTGTACAGTTATATTATTTTGTGCGTAACATTTTCATAAACATATATGACGAATTTAGTTGATACTTGGTTTACACGAGTTTATTTTTAACAAAATCTATTGCATAAAACTATATAAAAATAAGGCTGCGTAGTAAAAATCGGGACCTTTTTATAGAGGTCAAAATCACGTGCGAATCGTTTGAACTGTATACCCAATGTTAAAGCAACTTTGTAAAAGACAAAAACTTACAGAAAAAACCTCTACCTAACCTAATATAGTATAATGAAAAAAAGAAAAAAAAAGAAATAGCAATACTGCTAGTTATCACAGAGGAATAGTATGCAATCAGATTAGGGTTTTCCACGAGATGTCCAAATGGAAGAAGAGATATAACAAGTTTCTTATGGTAATTATTCTGAAGGAGTACTAGATCAGATGTCTTGTCTTAGGGGCAGTGAACTAAGATGGGCTTTGGCATGTATGGGGGTCAGAAGGTCCCATTGGGTTGGCTACAAGATGAAAATTGGACAAAAAACGGCCAAAAAGACGGCCCTGACAACGATGTACATGCTTAAATCTATTTTGTGATAGGGTCACCAAAACATTTGTTACTGTAGGAAGTAGACGGCGAATTACAATTGGTAAATAATAGGTAAGGGTTGAGGAATTTGGTAGTTGCAGCAATGAACCTAATAATAAAAATAATAATAATAACTTTATTTTAGGTGTCATTATAAACTTTTTGAATTATTTATATAATATAAGGTAATAAGGCGAAGGAAAGGATTAATTAGTATGCATAGATGTGTACGGGTACTAATCTAAACCTAAATAGTAGGATATTAAAGTTAAAAATTTGTAGCTTTTTCAGGTAACTTTTATATTAGTTTAATTTTAGGCGATAAGGTAACAAAATAGATTTATTAGTGTATCATGGAAAAATAGAAAAATATACAAACATATATTTTATGACATGTGCGTTACATTAATTATTAAATCTTTAGCAGTTATACAAATTTATTAAACAATCTATTGATTATTGACAACTGTTTATTTCTATTGAAATGTATCTATTAAATTATCTTCATATGTAATTAATATTTTCGTAACCATTTTCGTATATTATTTGGGTTTTTTCTTGGTACTGTAAAATCTGAAACAAATATACATATTTAAAATATGTTTTCGTTTTTCAAACAACAAATAATTATTAAAAACTATACAAATTAGTTGGTATTCAAAACGTTTATATTTTTAATGAAATATGATTAATTACTATTTAATTGTTATAATTATGTCTTCATCCATTATGTCGTACATTGGTTTTAAACCTAAATCTTTTTCGTTTGAAATCTCCCCCTTCTATTTAAATATTGAAAATAAAAAATCATTCTTTAGGTTTTTTTACTAGCTATATTCCATTAAGTTTATTTAATTTGAATTTAGCCACCTTATATTAAATAAAAATATATATACTAAAGGTAAAAACGACAAAGACATAATATAAATAAAATGTACAAACAAAAAAATAAAAAATTACATAGAATTGGCAAAATAATAATATACCTTTAAAATTTAATAGAGGTTTCCCTGTAGGATTTATCTCACGCATGTGTTTCTTTTTAAGATTCAGGCCTTGCAATACTTTAGTAATTCTCGCGAGTTTTGTTGGTTTAATGCGTAACATAGAGATGGGTTCAATGCACATTGTCATATATTCACCGAAATCAATGAGATTGTCACCTGAAAAAAATTAAATGCTAATCAATAACAATTTCCACTACAATGTTGTTCTTAATTATTTGCCGTTTAAATCTCGTGGCGTGAACATATTGTCGGTAGAAGCCTTAGTCGTGGATGGTTCTATCTCCTTGAAAAACGTATACAGCTCATCACGGGTAATAACGCCATCTTTGTTCCTATCTATTGCAAGAAACGACTCGAGCATATCGTCCGCCTAAAAGTTTAAAGTAACACATTATGTTATAATATGTATTAAAACACAAAATGGGTATTCATTATTCTATTAAATTTAATTTTTACGCGAATCTACTATATATAATACTACATACTTAAGTGTTAAAATATTCAGTCAGGTTATACAATTATAAATAAAATATTAAAAGCACAATTCATCAAGTGAATGAAAAACTTGACGTCGTATATAAATGAAACATTTTCTAAAAATTATTAATTAATCGATATTAATACGGAATAAAATTTGAAAAATTATCTTTTTTATTATCTTACAAGAACATTTTATATAATTAATAATATTTTAAAAGATTTTTGTTGCAAATTTTTCAAGGACTTGAATATAATCTTCCCACCTGTTGTTATGATTAATCATACTGGTAAAGTAAAAATTATAACTACTAACCTCTGCCGAGGCCTCAAACATTTCTTCTATTTCCACGAATAAAGTCTCTTCAATTGGAAAATTTACTGTAAACAGTTTGTGATAATTTAAAAACAAAATTCAACAGGTAATTAATTTTTCTATTACCTTCTGGACTAATGAGATTAAATATTTCAAAACGTTCTGCCTCAATATTGAACAGATACCCAAGTTGAGCATTTTTCGCTATTTTCTCTAGGTATGTAGTTTTCGAAATAGGCGCATTTGTATTGAAGTTTTCTTCCCTCTCTGAATTATCTTTCTAAATCAATATTAGAAGCGCATATTATGTTAATTTAATAATGACATTTTTTGATAAGTCTTATATACAAAAAATATTTACAGGATGATTCATTAAGGATAATTCACATCAATTTTGTAGTTTTTTCTATTTGACACTCATTTAGAGTTTATGTATTTTACAATATTAGACAGCACTCAAATTTGTTTTTTTTTAAATCTATCACTTTTTGAAACTTAAATGTCGAATTTTATACTTAGTTAATTTTTTTAATTAGGAATAATTTTAGGAACATTATGCCTGGTTAATAACTAGTATTGGATAGTTACAAGAGTTGTAATGCTTTAAATTTCTTTATCCTTATCTTTCCTTCTCTTAATTTACTACATCGATACAAAACAAATTTCTCAGAATAGCTCTCAAAGCCCCATGGTATATGCGAAACACACAACTCCACAACGACACTGGAATACCATACCTAACCACATGGATAAATGAACAATTTAAAAAATTTCATTCGAAACTAAACACAATAGAAGGAGCCCTTCACTTCAAAATTGGGAAAAGAACCAAAAACCGCCGACTAAAGCCACGTCTCCCACAAGATATCTTACTACCTCCAGAATCATCATCGTCATCTTCATCATCGGTATCATCAGATTAATGACCTAATTAAAACAACTCATAATTTATGTACAATTTGCTAAATTAAAATAATTATAAATTATTTTATTACTCTATTATGCCTACCTAATTATGTAACTTAATTAATATATTGTAAAAACAAGATTATGTTGAAACAATTAAAAAAAATATATAATAAAAAAAAAAAAAAAAAATGTACTACATAAAAATGATACTTAAGTTTTTTAAAGGCTATTCCCCGTTAATAATAAAAATGGCATTCGTTCAAATATAAAATCGTCAATGATCACAAGTTGCCATTTTTAGATATATTGGTAAACGGAAAATATGTTGGCACTTACGGGACGTATCAGTTATCATGGTCTAACAAGATTAAGGTGAATTCGACTGAAAACAGTAAATTTAGTCATAACTTTTATAATAATGGAAATAAAGAGCCAGGATTATTAAAACATGTCGAGTTCAGTCATTTACATAAACTGTGTACATTTGAGGTATCTACGTTCAATAAATAAAAAATTAATTCATAATGAATCTGAATCACTACCAAAATGTAATCAGTTCGTCTAGATAACCAAAAGAACACAATGATAATGTTTTTGAGAAAAAATTGAATACGCATCTTCGCTATTAATATGGGATTGGCACAAACGAATACCATAGCTAAAAAATGTTTGATATTTTTTATTATACATTCTTAATAGGTAGTCCAGTAAAATTAGGAAAAAGAATGAAACTAATTAGTTCTGATAATTAGTTTTTGATATTAGATGTACAGTTATAGTGCCGCCGCAGTTATCAACAACGCTGGGGCTTACAGTAATGTATACATAATTAAAAAACCTGTATCCTATGTAAAACTGTATAAGGTCTTTAATTTTTATAATGGGTCAATTTTACGTATAACCAACAGTTTTAGCTAAAAAATAAAATTTAAAAAAAATTGTTTTTAATTAAATTTTTTTTTCTTCAAAAAGTTGTACTTACGGCTATTTGGTGATATATAAAGTCTAAAACTTAGCATATTCCTATGGTAGATTTAACGGCCTTTAATTTTTATACTTTACACTTTAACCGTCAGTCTAGCGGTTATCGAGTTATAAAAAGAAACGGAAAAGGAGTCGTGCCATCCCTTTTTAAGGGATGGAGGGCTAGGCATAAGAGGTAGGCTTGGGGACTTTTAGTATGTTGATCAATATGGTATGGGCTGTTTGTGTACCAAAATTCAGCTTTCGCGGAATTGGTTCCATTCTTTTCCGTTTTTTTGTCTAATTTTATATTTATGGATATATCTATGAATATTCGATGGATTATTCGAATATTTGTTCCGATTTTTCGAATATTCGAATACTTTATTTTCTTTGCAGATTAATTAGATTAAAAAAAATAATAATTAAGAGACAACTAAGGTGTCCTTGATCTATTTTAAATAATTTTTTAACAAAATAAATATAATTATAACGAATTATTCTTTTGACAAAATAAATATTATTACTTATTACAACAAATATAATTTTAACAATTTATATAGATGTATAATTACAAAAAAAAACATAAATTTGACAAAATATTCGAAAATTCGAATATCCGAATTATTTCATTACAATTCGAATATTTGAATTATTTTCATACGAATAGTATTATTCGAATAATAGAAAAATTCGATTCGAGGTCTCAGCTCTACTGAAAACTGCCAACTTTAATGACTCACAACACATATGCGCCTGAACAAAAATTTTCCAAATTTGTGCAACACTTATATTTATTGGAAATATACACAGTTTACACAACTGTTCAATTAATTCCTTAGAAAATCTGCATTAAAATACTATATTATAGATCTAGAAAAACTGTGCAACAATGTGGTTAAGTATTATAAAACAATAAAATATTTAAACAAATCCAAAACAGTGTGAGTCTGCACATATTCGTTTAGGCACATTTGTGTTGTGGGTCATTACAGTAGGCAGATTTCAGTAAACCGCCCATGTTTTTTGAAACCATAAATGAATATTAAAAAAATTTGGTTCAAAGATGATATGGACCATAAGACAAAACTTAAATTTAATATAAGCAAAATTCTTTTTTTCAAATGTTTTTTTCCCAAAAAAAGTATTTTAAAAATATTTTTTGTAAATAAATGATCTATATAGAATAAATAAAAAAATTCAAACATTTTTTTACTATAGTCACACATTAGGAGATTTCACCAGAACTGACCCACACATCAACGGACAGAATGCCAAGTTGTTTCATTTTTTATTAAAACACAAAATATGGTCTTAGTCTTAAGGCGATATTCGAAATAATAATTGTTTTCAGGGAGCCGTAGCTTCCACTCTGAGGAAGCAAAAGCGAAAAATTACACATTGACCGACTGAAAATTCTAGAATGCTATGTGTCAGTGAACCGACCATTAAATATTTTGAGCTAATTATTCTCAACTTAAAATGTTAGTTAGATATTTACGTTATCTTTAAAAAGTCCGTAGACCTTCCAGGGACTTGTACACATTGGGTATTTACACAGTAATATATATACAATTTTTTGGCGTCAAAAGGAAAAACTACAAAAATCAAAAATGAATCACCCTCTATGGTAACATTAATAAAACTGAACAAATACCTTTTTTGACACAACAGCTATTATCGGTGACATTTTTATTAAATGTTCCACTCTTATTTCTCGTTCTTCTGAAAATAATTACGGCAAATTTTGAATGATTTTTTCGTTGAAAATAGTTTTATTTTCAATATTACTCTTCAAATTAATTAAATGTAAGTATGTCTTTAAATTGCGAATGGTGATAAATCCCCTGAACTCTTCGTATATAAGTTTCTGTAGTTCCTCTGGAGACAAAAAACCTTTTTCTCCGTTGTCGTAGTTGTTAAACATCTGTTCCCATTGCAAATTGGTTTGCATATTATCCAATTTTGGATTTGGAAACTAGAAAATTATGTACAAATAAATTTATAGGAATTGTTTTATCAAGAAAGGAAATATGTCGAGTTGAAAAGTTTTATACTTTAAAATCATTTGAAAAATCCGAAAACATTATATTTTGCACTAGAAACTTCTTCTAGCTGCTAACTATTATTTATTACTGATTAAAATAAAATACAATTTCATATATTAAGATATTTGAATCAGCGTTGTGTTTCATCTATGATCTCTGATTATTCAAAATATTTATAAAAATAAATATTCGAGTAATTGTAGAAAAAATTATTTGAATAATCTCAAAAATATTTTAAATGATTTTCAAAATAATTGTTCGAATTATTTAAAAAATATTATTTAAATAGTTTTTAAGTTTTTTTTCAATTAATTATATTTTAAAACATTATTTCGTTTAAAAATTGTATACACTACATTTAGAACACATAAAAAAACAGTATATTATATTATATGAAGACATTTTTTTATTCAAATAACTTTTTATTCGAGTATAAATTGTAAAATAATTATTCGAATAACGTTTTATTCGTATGAAAATTTGCAAAACTCTGCTTAAAATAGTCTTAACAATCTCCATCGAAAATATGTTACCGTCTATATTTTATTGTATTCGTTTTTTGTGTTATTTTGTTCATGTATATTATAAGCTTTTAAATATTTCTGAATTTTAGATACATACCGCAGTACTCGAAGAAGCTTCATCCTCTGCCAGCTAATAATAAATTGTAAAAAAAATATTTTTTATACTTCATACATTTAAATATTAAGTTACATACCATACTCAGAGAAGATTCCACTACTGGTTGTGTTAACTCATCAGATGTCTCTTCCATTTCTTCTGAATCATCTTCAAGTCTTTCTCCTGGTACCTCTACTGGTCTGTCTGCTATTATATCACTGGTATCTTCTATTATCTCTTCTTTACCTGCAGTACTACTTTTTTCTATAAAACACACAACACACACAAGTACTATGATATTTTTTGAAAACATTGTAGTTCAAAATATGTACGTGGCTTGTACGAGACCCGCTAGAAAATAAAAATTTGTTTTTTGTAATTTTTCGTTTCGGTTTGTAGCTTTATAATGATTCACATACATTTGTGCTTTGGATCTATTTATTTACATACGTCATTGGAAAATATTAACATTATTATTTGTACAAATTGTATCAACATGATACAATTCTTAAAGGGAATTTATATTTATTTAAAATATAAGTACTTACATGGTAACGACAAATTTTAAGAACCCATTCTTGACTATAAAAATTATATTAATTACATATGTCCTTATACGGATGGCGGGTAAAATATATTATTAAGCAAAGCTGTGGCTTCTCGTACTAGCCGGCTGGGCGAACCCACAACTTGGCGCCTCCTGACAAAGAGTTAACATTTTTAATTGTTTTTCAAATACGACGCTAAATAAAAAATGTCAATAAATTATTATGAATAAGTAAAAATTCATATTGTTAAAAATATACTATTGTTATACATTTTCTATACGATGAAATTAAATGTATAATATTAAGTCATAATTATTTTAAATGTTTACATTAGGACAATTTAATAGAATAATACTGTATCTTAATGAACAAAATAGTTATTCGGTGTATGAATATTTGAACACCAGGGTCATAAAATAAAATAGTTCAAACATTCAAACGGGAACCTATGCAAACAACAAAATAAAATACTAAAAACAAATATTCGATTAACAAAAAACGGTAAAAGACGAGTCATAGTGACTTTTTGTACCTTGTCTCAGTGTGGATGAGTAATTGCAATAACGTATTTTTTTTTTTTTATAACGTTTTTATGAACTCACAATTTTGTTTGTCGTTCCGGGTGGAATCTTGCAACTCAAATTTCGAGCACTTCCCGATTAGCTATCCGGCTGAAACTTTCAGGGTAGTTCACAATTCGATGACAATGCATTATTAATCAACAAGAGGTTGAAAATTCCACCTCTAAGGGGGATAAAATGGGCTCGATTTCTTGTCCGTCGTTCCGGTTGGAATCTTGCAATTCAAAAAGACTTATTTCTCATCCCCCCGCAAAAATTATGCGTGGTGCGTTTGGGCGTGAACGGTGCTCAGATATAGCGGTACCAGATTCAAACCCGTTCCCATCATTACACTTTTTTGCATTTACTTACAACTTTTATGATAATTTATATAGTAATTACAACTTAATTTCAACTTTTATGATAATTTATACAGTAATAAATCTAAAATTATAAGCTTTTAAATTGATTACTAATTCTTATGATAATCCTTCTGACCATGCAGCCTTTTCTATAACATGTTATAAACTTTTTATAACATTGTACATTTAAATATATAGATACCTACATACGAAAACAAAAAAGGACAAAATAACTGAAGTATATTAAAAAATTAATTTAAAAATAACGTTTTTATGCGTCTTAAAAAGTATAAAATAACCCTCCGGGGTCTTGATAACCAAATAGGACAGGTGAACTGGAAAAACGTTGGGTGCATCTTTACTACTTCACACGTCTGAATATATAATAACATTCTCTTCTCATTAGTAACTCATTAATAACCTTAACTCATAATTCATGCACAATCATCTTTTCTCTTCTAAATAAAATAATACTTAATGACATGTCATGTAAAATTGACCACCACATTACTTTAAATGTTAAGCAAGTAGGTAGTTAACAAAAAAATTGAAGCAACCTACATAAAACAAACTTTGAAGAGAATAGCAATTAAGTCTTTTCAATTTGCAATCAAATTTAAGGCAAGTGGCACGGAAATCCATTAAATTTCATTTCCGATAAAAAGTCATACTATCACTTTCTGGTCCATTCGGTTAGAGAGACAGCATTATGGGAGACAACTTAATGCATTAGCATGAAAGTTTAGGTTTTAATATCTAAGTAGAAACATGCGCCCCACGTTTTTCTAATTCATTTGTTTTATTTGGTTATCAAGACCCCCGGAGGGTTATTTTATACTTTTTAAGGCGCATAAAAACGTTATTTTTAGATTAATTTTGTAATCTACTTTATTATATACCATGTGTGCAGATATATTATTTTGCGCGTATCATTTTAATAACCTGTTATATTATCAATATACTTAGTTTACACGAGTGTATGTATAAACACTCGATTGAAAATGATGATGTAAAACTATCTGTTGGTATAATCTAGAAGCCCAGTGACACTTGGATTTATTTCACCTGACTTAAAACAATTGGTATAGCCAGGATTTTTTTTTCAGGATACGGTTAATTACGGCTTAACAAATTTTGATCAAATTCAATAAACAATCAAGGTTTTTACAAAATGTATTGAACATATCAAAAAACAATTTTCCATAACTTTTATAGCTGATAAAATAATATTAAAAACCCTTAACCATAAAAATTATTTACTCTCCGCGTATATACGTACGCGAAATACGTCGTATACGAGGAGAGAATATAATTTTTATGGTTAAGGGTTTTTAATATTATTTTATTACATATAACCATAAGCTGCTTAAGTTTTTTTCTAGGTTTTATAGCTGTGTATATATGCACAGCTATGGCCTACAAATAATAAAATTACAAGAACAAAGTACACAACTAAAGTATGGAATTAAAGTTGAAAATAACAACTGCTGTGACTCTACTACAATAACAAGTTCTTCGGAAAATAATATTTTAAACAGCTAAAGCCTATGTGATATAAAAAAACCAATAACGAACAAAAAACAACTGAATATTTTACTTAAAACGTATATAAGTTCTAAACTGAGCGATAATATAATTATGCAAAACAAAAAGATTACACGGGAAAAATATTTAAAATTTTGAAAAGAAATAAAAATTTGTATTAAGTAATTTATTTAATATTAAGAGAGGACTTTATTTCCATTTTTAAAACAATGTTAATATTTTTATATACAAAAAAAAATTTACATTAGATCCATAAAATCCATTATTTTCATTATAAGTTTTAAATAACGAATAAATTGATTTTAAATAATATCCAGTTAGATACGTTTTGGAGTAAAAATATTAAATATAATATTTCTTTCTTTTACAAAAGCGTTCACCAGAGACATTAACCTTCCATAAGTTATGCCTGCCCCCTTTTGGCATGCGTCTATTAAATACTCTATTAGATGATTCAGATGTCTTGCGCGACGAATTGTGTGACGCTTTTTAACCTATTTATAATTGCTCAAGATGTTTTACTATATAAATTATGTAATCTGCATCGCTGAACACCGTTAAATAATTGATTTTAAACAAATATCGAAATAATGCTACTTGACGTAAAAGGTATAAACATGAATTTAACTTCTGATTCGGGTTGAATTAAAAAACAACTTTAGTCAGTAATCCAATTTATTGACGACAAATCTTTCACTTAACACAGTATTATAATACTGTATCCGTTACTATCTATGTACTAGAAAAGTCAAAAGGATAATAGGTATTTAAGATATTTAACCAATTCAACTTAGCTTTAGAATAGTTTGAAAATCCAAAATTAAAATAAATAAATAAATTACAATAATATTACTTATACACCCACAGTAAACGCCATTGTTAGGCTTTAGGAAAAAAACTAAGGTATCTGTATTAAAAATATAGGCTCATATTATGTTAAATTTAGAAGCTCGATCAGACTATTTTTCACGAATTTGTAACAAATAAAATTTAAAGATGAAAAACTTGTAATTTTTTTTTTTGTGGGGGAGGGGGTGGCTTAAAAGTGAAGAAAACTCCATTTTCATGTTCTTAAGTTGATAAAAAACCATTTAAAAACAATCATGACTGATAAGCTATATAAGTTTTGTTGGTAGTGTTTTATATATAATTTTTTTGTTTTTTATTTATTTGTATAATTATGTTTTACTTAATTATGACCATTTCATTTTTTTTGTTTATACATTTTTAATTTATAATAATACATATGTTATACAGGGTGATTCTTTTATCATAAACCCCTCAATATCTCATAGGGTTTAATAAGAAATTAAAATTGTTTTTTCATATTGTTTTTATACAATGTGATCTCAATTTTTCGCAATTTTTTTTGTTTTTATTCCCCTCCCAACTTAGTTTTTTTGAAAGCAACTTTTGAAACTTAAATGGTAACGTATATATTTTATTAACTTTTATATTGAGAATAATGTACTAAACATTTTGACTGGTCGATAACCAGTTTCGGATGACTATTTTTAAAATTATAAGAGTTTTAATTTGTTTGTTATGAAGGACCTATAAACAATGTATGATAAAAATTTCAAACATTTTTGAAGTATAGACGCACACCCATTACGTGGTTTCACGTAGAATGACCCATTGTTATAATATATTATATTTATATAATATTTATATATGTCACACCTAGGGTGTGCACAATGGACCTGTAGGTCTGAGTGCATTGGCCCATTCTAGGCCCACCCGTTAACTAACTAAAACTAAAACTATGTCACAGCTAAAAATAATTCTATTATATCTCTATATAACTCTATTAATAGTACATTTTTTTTCTATACAATCAAATTAAATGTATAATATTAAGTAATAATTTGAAATGTTTACATTGGGATAATTTAACAGAATTATATTTTATTGTATAATTTCGTATGGTACATATTTTGGGATGTCCAAATAACTTACAGAAAAAACCCCTAACGCCAAAGATAGTATAATAAAAAAAAGAAAGAAAAATAAATAGTAAAACTGCTAGTTATCATAGAGGGACAGTATGCAATCAGATTAGGGTTTTCCACGAGATGTCCAAATGGGAGAAGAGATAAAACAAATTTCTTATGGTAATTATTCTGGGGGTCTATTCTTGAAACCATTCGAAAAATATAATATTATTTTTATAGGTACTTACTTTGAGCCATTCGGACCATTCTTTTTGAGGTCCACGAATGTTATTTAAAACATCTCGGCATTCCTCCCATAACCTCTTGGCAGAGTTTATAGTAAAAGAGGACGTAAACTTCCCTCTCATTAGTTCGGGATGACTTTCCATGTAATCTATAAGTGCACTTTTTTGCTCTCCCGTAACGTGAGATTTTTTTGGTTTTGACATGTCGATAAAATTAGAGAGTATATTCTGAGGTGTGTGTTTGACCACTGCTAGAGTAGTTATGATGAGTTAAGGGATGCGCAAAATATAACGACAATATCGAAACATCGATAATATCGATATTTTTGTTGAAATGTCGATAAATCGATATTTTAGTATCGATAACCTATAAAAATATCGAATTTTTATTTTTTTTATACCGGGTATAAAACAACACAGATAAATGATAATATCATTGGAACCGAATTTGGTTATCACTCATCAATTTTTTATTTTACAAAATATATGTATATTAACAATTTTGTAATTAATTAAAGATTACATAATATAAAATAATATTGTAATATAATATATAAAGCTAGATAATATAATAATTCAGGTAATATAACGTAATTCGTATACGAATGCGTAGTAGAATAGAAAGAGTAATAGAAAACGCAATTTCAAGAATACAGTTTTAAAAAACCAGTAGAAAGTCACATTTCGTATACGAAATGGTAGTAGAAAATTTTCAAGAATAGACCCCCTGAAGGAGTACTAGATCAAATGTCTTGTGCTTAGGAGCAGTAAATTAAGATGGGCTGGACATGTATAGAGATCAGAAGGTTCCATCTTTAAATCTTATATTAATTTAATTTTATGTTTGATTATAAACTTTTTAAATTATTAGTATAATATAAGGTGATAAGGTAACGAAAAGGATTTATTAAAAAAAAAGATTAATCAAAAAAGTATGCATCAAAGTAGATTGGAAATATTTAAAAATATACAAACAAATATTTCATTACATGTGTTATATTAATTATTAAATCTTCAGCAGTTATACAAATTAATTAAATAATCTATTGATTATTGACAACCATTTATTTCTATTGAAATGTATCTATGAAATTTTCAACAAATTTAATTTATATTTTTGTACGAAGTGTATTCCTTAATCTTTTCTTATTTTTTTTATATTTTTCTACGTTGTGCAATATCTGAAACAAATATACATTTTTAAAATATGTTTTTGTCTTTCAATAAGAAATAGTTACTAAAAACTTTACAAATTTGTTAGTAATCAAAACTTTTATATTTTTTAGTTATTTCCTCATGCATTTTGTCATACAGTAGTTTCAAACCTAACTTTTCGTTTAAGATCTCCCCTTTCCATTTAAATATTGAAAATAAGAAATAATTTTTTAGGTTTATTTACGAACTATATTCCATTTATCTTATTTAATTTGAATTTAGCCACCTTAAATTTAAAAAAATCAATTGTAAATGGTAAAAATAAAATAAATAAGATTAAAAAAATTGCATAGAATCGGCAAAATAATATTATACCTTTAAGAGTTAATATATCTTTTCCTGTGGGATTTATCGCAAGCATGTCTTTCTTTTTAAATTTAAGACCTTGCATTGCAGTCATAAGTCTCGCGAATCTTTTTGGAGTTATGCGTATCGTAGTATCGGGTTCAACCATCATTATCATATATTCACCGAAATCAATGCGATTGTCACCTGGAAAATTTTAAGTTCTAAATAATAACAATTTCCACTACAATGTCGATCTTAAGTATTAACCGTTTAAATCTCGGTGCTTGAACATTCTTTCGACACTCTGCTTAGTGGTCGTGTATGGTTCTATGGCTTTGAAAATATCAAACAGCTCATCACGGTTCAAAAAGAAATTTTTGTCCTTATCCATATCAAGAAACGACTGGAGCATTTCTTCCGCCTAAAAGTTTTAAGAAACACATTATGTTATATGTATTATAACACAAATTGAGTATTCATTATTCGATAAGATTTAATTTTTATACGCGAATCGTCTATATAGAATACTACATACTTTAATATTAATACGTTCAGTCAGGTCATCAAATTAAAAAGTAAATATTAAAAGTACAATTTACTAGTGAATGAAAAACATGACGTCATATATAGGTACAGAATTATTAATTAATCGATAATTATAAGAAATAAAATTTGAAAAATTATCTTTTTTATTATCTTACAAGAACATTTTATATAAATAATATGTTAAACGATTTTTGTTGTACATTTTTTAAGGACAAAACTTGAATATAATCTTTTCACGGGTAGTATGATCGTTCATACTGATAAAGTAAAAATTATATTAAAATGTTAACTACTAACCACTGCCGAAGCCTCAAACATTTCCATTATTTCCTCGAACATCGACGCTTCAATTGGAAAATTTACTGTAAACAGTTTGTGGATAATTTAAAAACAATATTCAACAGGTAATTAATTTTACTACTACCTTTTGGACTAATAAGGTTGAATATTTCTAATCGTTCTAGGGGAGTCTCAAACAGATGCTCAAGTTTAGCACTTTCATTTATTTCCTGTGTGAATTTAGCTTCCGTAATAGTGGCATTTGTGTTGGTGTTTTTATCCTTCTCTGACCTATTTTCCTAAAATAATATAAGAAGCGCATAATATGTTAATTTCATAATGACATTTTTTGGTAAGGTTTATATACAAAAAATATTTACAGGATGATTCATTAAGGATAATTCACATCAATTTTGTAGTTTTTTCTATTTGACACTCATTTAGAGTTTATGTTATTTTACAATATTAGACAGCACTCAAATTTGTTTTTTTTTAAATCTATCACTTTTTGAAACTTAAATGTCGAATTTTATACTTAGTTAACTTTTTTAATTGGGAATAATTTGATGAACATTATGCCTGGTTAATAACTAGTATTGGATAGTTACAAAAGTTGGAATACTTTAACATCTTTAACCTCATCTATCCTTCTCTTAATTTACTACATAAAATTAATACTTCAGATTTTTAAAGGCTATTCCCCGTAAATAATAAAAATGACATTTTTTAAGTATTAAATCGTCAATGATCACAACATAAAATATATATTTTCTTATATGTATATAATTTTATTTTGTCAAACGGAAAAACTAAAAAAATCATGAAACTAAATGAATCACCCTCTATGGTAACATTAATAAAACTGAACAAATACCTTTTTTGACACAACAGCTATTATCTGTTTCATTTTTTCCAACCGTTCCGCGTTTATTTTAAATTGTTCTGAAAATAATTATGACAATTGTAGAATGATTTATTCGTAGTGCATTGTTTTATTTTTAATACTACTCTTTAAATCAAGTATCTTTATGTATGTCTCTAAATGGCGAATGGTGATGAATCCCTTGAACTCATCGTATATAAGTTTCTGTAATTCCTCTGGGGATATAGAACCTTTTCCTTTGGTGTCATACTTCTTAAACATCTCTTCCCATTGCACGGTTTGCATGTTATCCAATTTTGGATTTGAAAACTAGAATATTATATAAAAATCATTTTATGCGAATTGTTTTATCATGAAATTAATAAGTCGAGTTGAAAAGTTATAAGTTTTAAAATCATCTGAAAAATGCGAAAACTTAGAAACTTCTTATATACTTTTCCTCTAATTTTTTGGTACTTGTTTATTTGTTTATTTCCTGGGGGAATTTTAAACATCCATATTCCCGTCGTACTTGTTAAATTTCACTTGTCATACATCGTTTACATCCTAGTATGTTACATGAAATGCATTTTTTTTAAATCGCATAATTAAAGAAATAGTATGAGTTATGACGTGTAAAAAAAATGTTGGAAAACGCGAAAATCGGAGTTCAGCTAAAAAAAAATGGGAAAAATACAAAAAGTGTTTTTTTTTTACATTAGAATTATTTGATATGATTTTGTGCTTTTGTCTTACACTCATTGCTGAAAATCCTATAAATATGAAATACGAAAAACATTAGAAAAACAGAAATTGAAAGCTCTTATTCTACTTATTCTTAAAAGCTTTTATTCGATACGATTCTAAGAGTATGAAATAGTAAATATATTAAAAATAGTAAATAGTAAATATATTTATATGAATTTCATAAATAATTCATCATTATTGGTTTAACAAATAAAATTATTATCATAATTCGTTATTATTGATGAAAATAAAATACAATTTTGTATACCTAACTTACGGTCAGAGTTATGTATCATTGGAATAGAATGTTAGCTAAATAATCATCAATCATTCGAAATATCTATAAAAATAATTATTCTAATAATTTTAGAAATAATCTCAAAAATGATTTAAATAATTTTAGAAATAATCTCAAAAATAATTTAAATAATTTTCAAAATAATCGTTCGAATTATTTAAAAAAATATTATGCAAGTAATTATATATTAAAACATAATTTTATATAAAATCAATATACTCCACATTTAGAGCATATATAAAACCAGTATATATTGTATAGGAAGACATTTTTTGATTTAAATTACTTTTTCTTCGAATATAATATGTAAAATAATTATTTGAATAACATTTCATTCGAATAATAATTTGCACAACTCTGTTTACAATAGTCTTAACAATCTCTATCGAAAATATGTTACCGTCTATATTTTGAAGCAATAAGTCTTTGTGTTATTTTGGTCATGTATACTATAAGCTTTTAAAAATTACTGAATTTTAGATACATACCGCAGTACCTGAAGAAGCTTCATCCTCGGCCAGCTAATAATAAATTGTAAAAAAATTATTTTGTATAATCAAACTTTTAATGATTTTTATAATTTAAGTTACATCTATACCCCATTCTTAGACGATTTCACTGCTGGTTGTACTAATTCATCTGATGTCTCTTCTGATATTTCGGCTGAATCATCGTCTAGTTTTTCTTCTACTACCGCTGTTGGTCTATATTTTATTTTATTTTTGGTCTCTTCTGTTATCTCTTTACTACCTTTGGTACTACTTTTCTCTATAAAACACACGACACACAAAAGTACTATAATATTTTTTGAAAACATTGTAATTCAAAATATGTACTGGGCTTGTACGAGACCCACTAGAAAATACAATTTTGCTTTTTGTTATTTTGCGTTTCGTTTTGTAGCTGTATATTTCTCAAGTATTTCGATTAAAAACAAAAATTGTGAACAACAATATCATAAATTATCTTTGAAGACATATTCTACAACAGTGTTTTTTGTACCAAGTTTTGTGTTTGTGATCTAGTTTAAAGTATGCACAACACTCGTGAAAAACATATATAAATTACCCTAAAATATATAGAACACAGCTATTAGCAAAAAGCCTACAAGAAAACAGCATCTTTGTCGCTTCTTGTCGTTAAGTTACCACATTTTTTACTTTTGTGTTCATAACGTAATAATAAATGTATGGTTAGCATTTGTGTAAACAGAAGATTCAACCAAAATGGAAAAAGAACAAGTGTTTATTTGAAACATGAGAAAATGAGTCATAGCGAATGTACACATAATATTATTTACTTTTTGCTCATCGTCTCCTCAGTGTGGGTAAATAATTTTGTTACATTTTTTTATGAAAACAAATTTTGACTTTAGATTTTTTTTTATGCGTGTTGTAGGTATATGTTAGATCCATATTCAGACTAATTTCCAATATAATGTATCATAAAAAATATATGAACTAACAAAAACAACTGAGTATTTTAAATAGTATATACCTCCTGGTTTCTAAACTAAGAAATAAGATATTATGAAAATAACAAAATTTGTTTTTATAATTCATGCCTAGAATGTAAAAAAGCCAGTTCAGTGGGGACGAAGGAATTTCTGCCTAAGTACAATCTATGTTGTAAAAAATAAGCAGAGAAATTTTGTTCAAATAACAACATGTCTTCAGATTAAATTAAAAAATTTTAATGGAAGGTTACCTATGTACGAATTAATGTTTGAAAAAAACCAAAAGCAACAGACATTATGTTACTGGCACACATTTTATGAAAGCGATATCAAATTATCTGATTTAAAATACTATACAAATGCTTCTCGATAGGACACTAACAAATAAACGTGTTTTTACTCAACACCAAAAATATATTTTAAACCATATACAAATACATAGGTTTAAAAAAAACAGATGTGTATAATATTCTGATGGCTTAGGCTTAAATCTCTGTATTTTGTTTTATCGTTTAAATATTATACAATTTTTGAAATCTAATGCAATTTTATAACGCTCAACTGCCAAGTCGAGTGTAAAAGGTGAAAACCGAACATGTGGGACTATTAATTTTATAGTTCCGAAACTTAAAAATCCAAAACCTAAGAGTTACTTATAAAGTTCTGAATATACCTAATTCCAAACTCTTCGAATATCAAAATATTTTTAGAAAAGGATAGGGCGTAATTCTTCAAGATTTAAAGTTAGGATAAACTCAATAAATTCGCTACTACATTGCAATAACTTAACACCCGACTTTGGTCGATTAAGCATAATATAGCATTGATAACTATGTTAAAAACGCATTCAACTTTACCAATTAAAAAAAATAATTTGTTGCAGGGCCAGAATGGACTTTCAAGAGTTTTAGCCGCCATCAGCTATATATTTGGTCTTTATAAATGTATCGAAAAATAAAATTAACAACACAATTTTCTTTTATTTTTGCAGAGCACATGAAACACGCTCGGCTTTATTTCACATAAAAGGTGGAGGATATAAAAAAAAAAAAAAACATCTAACAACTCCCAAATCCGGTCAAAGCTAGAAAACGCAAATAAACTAAACCTTACTGTGCGTGTCAAACATGTATCAGCAAATTCTTTAAGTGTCTCTACTCCATAGGTCTTAAATTATTTTACACTCTGTTTTACACACATTTCGCTCTCTGAGACATCTGAGACGCTAACACGCTGTTTGCCGACGTCCAACAGCCCATCCCGAAAACTAAAAACATACTTACCTACTCGCGCAGACACCTGTCACGGATAAATTGCTAAAATCATAGTATACATACACACGCACACCACAAAATCTATATAAGCTGATAATAAAGCCATTAACGTACTAGGTGTGTAGCACGGCCGAGCCAAAATCGCTTAAGATTCTATCAATTTTTCATTTTTTTTTTTTGTGGAATATTGACATCAATTTATGTTTTTTTTATGATAACTTAGACAATGTCGTTACAATAAAATCGATAACCCATTTTCAGTAGTTATTTTTCAAGTTATATCTTGAATAATCCTCCTTTTATCTCTCTGCCTCTTATCTAAACTTTAAAATGTTTTTAACTTGGAAAATAACTAATCAACTTGAGCATTATTTTTTATAAAACATTTTTTTCTTAACAAAGTCGTTAAGCTTCCCGGTTCATAGGTTTAATTTAATGGAGGGGGAAATCTTTTTACACGTTAACTTTATGCAAAAATGTCTTTAAAAAATTAAAGGTGTATTGAACCTTAAGAAATATTGACAAATATTTACCTTACTCGTCACGAATCCATATAAACAATAATATATTATCTAGATGGTCAAGTATATAGAGTATGTATAATAATATCATACATGGTAACCGGTTTTCACAAAGAAATAGATTTGGGAAATAGGTGTATTTTCGATTATCGATGTCGGCCGTCTCAGTTTTGATTTAAAGACAAGTTTTTTTGTAAAAAAAAAAAAAAATTGTACTATTATTACAGCTGTGGCGGGCAAACGGATCTACACACGAGTAGAATTTTTTAATCGTTTCCATCTCGGCCTTCTTTCCATACCTCACGGGCGGCTTGAAATATTTTATTAAAAGAAGAAGATAACATGTTATTATCTCGTAGATACATCATGTACATCCACGTGACGGCTATGGCCCGGAGGAAATATGCCCTAAATGTTTCGGGGAAGATCCTATACAGAGATAATAGCCGAGGACTCTTGTTATTTATTTATTTTTTTATATACTTGGATTTGGATTACAAGATCAAACGTACCATGCTGGGGTCTCTATAAGAAAAGCACGTAATAATAATAATATGACCTTTTGGTTTATTTTACCATATAAGTTGGTAGCTGGGCCAGCCGGCCGGTCGGTCTGATGTGTACAACACAAGAGAAGAATATATATATATATATATATATATTACTTACTAGGATATATAAGAATATATACTAGGATTGTTGTTTGGCCTTAATTGAAAATAAGAGGAATGATACGCGGAGAGATCGAAACGATGCCGGCGAAACGGTTTTAACAGTACACGCATAGGTACACGGGTACACAACCTATAAGTACAATAACGTTTTTTTTCTGAAATAACAAAAAAAATATTCAAGTTAAACCCATCATCGTTTAGTAATAATTACCATAAAGCACATACTGTATTATTTCACTGTATACAACATTGTACGACAATAGCAACAACGAGATCATATCTATATGAAAATTTCATATTCTAATCATTTTTTATATATATATGCTTTGTTAAAATTTGTATTTTTTTTTTGCCCAATCATAAAATGATTATCTAGACAATGTAAGATTGGCTAATGGATTTTCAAGTACTACAGTAGACGGGGAATTTTGCACCGGCACCGTGTTTGCAGTGAAAACCAAAGGTATACGTATACCTACTACTACAACTTACAAGCTAATATAATAAAATTGTAGATTATTAAAAATCTTTTTCTTTTTTTTCTTACAATAACGACGGTATTGACCTCAAACCTATTGCTGCGGCAAATCTATAAACACTTGTGTCGTGCCATGGGATCAGAACGATAATTTGGCAAAACCGGTTTGCCGAAGCGACCGATTATTATTAATGTCGTTGACCATACAGTGGAAGAAAAAAAAAAGAAATATCCGGATGTACATTGTAATAATTGTTGTTTAATTAAATCGAGCCACTAGTTTTCCGGGGATGAAGCGGCCAGTTGGGGTGAAATCGAAGGATTTTCAAGAAATTTTCAACATTTCAAAGAACACAACACGACCGCCGGTCTGGCCGTCTTGGGTTCTCGGAAGTTCCCATCGTTAACGGTTTCCGGTTGGCCGATCCTAGAAAGGGAATTAGTACATTTCCCTCTTTCTCAAATATTAATTTTACTTTAACGTTTAAGCCATCGCGGTGCAACGTAAGTAGATACCGAGTGCGCATAAAAGTGTATAATATACAATTAGAAAGTAGCCACAACGGTATGCAAAATATCGACGTGTGCCCTTCGCAATATGCGATGGAATCTAAATCGTGGATAAAAAAAAACTGCCAACTGATTTATAGCAAAAACATACAAGACGTGCTAAATTCGTCTGAGTAATGAACATTTTCAATTAGAAAACATTATAATGATATACAACAGTCTGTTAACGAATGGGCTGAACAGGACGAATGCGTGTTGACTGGTATAGTCATATACATACGATTTTATATTTTATCTATGCTGGCCAAATATAGTTTTTTTTTTTGCTAGTAGAATTATTAAAAACGCATTCATCGTTTAAAAAGTCTAAAAATAATTCTATGTGAAGCGTTTTACAAACATAACCTAACGAACGAGGGACTTTCCTTTTTTGCCTTCACGATTCTGTTTTTACATTTCTTATTAAAATTGTTAAGTGCATCCACAATGGCGTTTAACGTGTTGGCTAGGTTAAGCTAGGCTGAAGAAACGGTCAGTAGAAATAGATTAATGAATTCTACAGGAACCGAGCCTTCTATAAATTACCCGAAGTAATTTGTAAATTGAATTATCCTATTTTAATAAATACGATAAAAATGATTGTTAACTGTTCAGTTGATAAATCACCGTTTGTTTTGAGATTTTCCAAAAAACATTGTTACAAGGTTGTAATGTAACAACTTTACACTAAAAATTATTTAATAAAATTATTGAAAATATTTAACAGCAGGTAATTTTTGTTTAGACAAAGTAATAACCTACATTTTTTGGTCATCATTTTACATTGCTATACAAGCAAATAAGAATTTTTATTTCAATGTCTTCATGTGAACATAACAGAAGTTCAAGTGCGACTACTCGATGGACACACAAACGGCAAATTATTATTTTTTTCTTATACCATGTTCTGCTAATATGGAAACAGCACGCGTGACTTTCTTGTAACTTGACCGCTTGAATTCACCTAAAAACGTTTTACCTTTAAGGAGACACACTAATAATAATTCTCAATTGAATGCATTGTGAATTATATTTTTCTAGTGTTTTGTCTTGTCTCCATTGAAATAGTTTAGAATATGTATTGTTGTT